GTGTTTTTTTCCACAAAAAAGGAATTATCAGCTGCAAGAAGAAATAAACGCACGCGAACCGCAACGCCTCTGACGACATGGTGTAAATTCGCTAGCCGCTTTTTTTTGGAAATGACTATTTTTAAAAAAGTTTTGTAATTACTTTTTATGGGAAAATGATTACAAACTAGATATAATATATCAGATGCTAATGCATGTTTCATATAATCCCGATTTGTTAAATTTTAACACAGAAACAATTTTTCGTGGTCCGCGGCCAAGCCGACTATTCGGCCCGGCTTTCGGGCGGCGGCTCGACTGGGGGCGATTTACGCGGCGCATTACGAGGGGGTTAATCGCTCTTTTTTTTTCAAGAGATTTTTAACAGGTTCAGTTAAAACCAACGTGAAAAATGGCTACTAGTGAATATACTAATGATCGGACCTGCACAACCAAGCTGATGAGCAGCATTCGTTGCAAAGCCACAGTTCTCGCCGACATGTTGCTGCTCATCTCGTCAAGCTTCTTCAATATCCCTCTAGTTGTCGTCGTAATTATAATTCCACCGAGAACGCACAGAATTGTAATGATACTAAGATTGAGAAGCGTCACAGTGTCAGTGATTGGCGGAGCGATGACCGCCGTGTTGCACATGATCTCAATCGGAACGGCATCGTTGTATCTCTGAATAAAGTGAAAATCAGATCAAATTTTGTCGACCACCTAATTCTACAGTAGTTCGCAGCAAGTGTGTTCATTGTTCAATCGCTAAGTGACCAAATAAATTTCTTGGAATTGACACAATTTTTTTTTATTTGATCACCACTATATATTTGTTCCTATCAGTTGATTTACCAAAAATTATAACAATAAAATTGGCTTTGTCAGGTCTATGCAAAAAAAAACACACGTAGTTTCTTATGAAAATATCGAAAAAAGTTGAGGTGAAGCCGAGGAAAATTCTATTGAATCTATTCTACATATATACAGTGCGCGTCATAATGATAGGCCACCTCCAAATTAAGAAAAAAAATAGAAAACCATATGACAAGACAATTGGATTTTCGAATTCAAGACCATTGAAAACCTATATGTGCGTATTTTCGTGAGGGTCCGTTGATCCGTATCCGCACAGTCCAAAAAAGTTGGATTTTCAAGAATTTTTTGTCTTTTCATTCCCCATTTTTGCATGTCTCTAGTTGATTTTTCTGTATAATCTTTTTAAAACTTTTCTCTTTATTTTCATGAAAATATGCACATAAAGGTTTATAATGGTCCTGAATTCGAAAATGCAATTGTCTGGTCATATAGCTTTCTCGAAATTGCCAAATTTGGAGGTGGCGTATCAATATGACGCGAACTGTACATTTTCACGTCTGTTGAATATCTTGGCGAATTCTGTGATCGCAGCGAAATGTTTAAAAAATTTTTTTTATCCGCTTCGACCCGGCAGAAACAAAAAGAAATTATTTTCAAGTCTCGCGTAGAAAATTGTCAAGAAATTACATTGTTTACAATTTTTCATGCGCCTTTAATTACAATGGAATGAACAGACTTTGAAATGTCGATATATGGTGAGTTTGATTCGCAGGTGTACCGTAGTACGGTATCTACCGCTTGAATCGAAATTTCAATTACCGCCCCAAAAAAATGTACGATGGTCAGGGTTCTCGTTTTTTTGCAATGAAAATATTTTTTCAAAAAGCCAAAATGGTGTGCAATCACGCCGCATAATTTCTGAGGACTTGCATTTTAATTTGCGATCATCGAATATTTTAAAGGCACATAATTACTCGTAGGTCACTTACATCGAACAATTGATTTTTGTAGAGCAATTGATGAGACAGACAACTCGGAAGTGCACACCCTGCTATAATTGGTGACAGAATGCAAAAGCCATAATTGACTTTGTACAAATTGCAAACGATTGAATACGACATTGAGGTTTGGTCGATCACCACATTGTATCGAAATCGGAACATTTCAAGAATTGAAATAAAAATGTCTGTGAAGAAAATGATTGAGAATGAATTCATAATATCGACCAATTACGCATTATCAAATACATTAAAGCGTAGAACGCGAGAAGGCCGTTTAAATCGAATACATCAGAATTCCCGTTGAACGGAAGACTGGGAATGGCAGATATGTCATTAGTAGCATTAATAAGGATATGTAGACCTCGAACACGATGTTCCTGTTATTCAATGTGTTGATTGTTCGGTTCAAAAACCCTCGTTTTAGCCAAGAATATGCCATAGTAAGTAGTTTTTATAATTTTTCAGCACTTTTGTGGTTTTTGAGACGAGCACATAGATGGAAACCGAGTATAATGGAATTGTGACCAAATGAAGATAATGCATTAGAAGTCTGAATTTCGAATTTAGTTTTTTGTAAGGTTTTGTAAACGAACAAAAAATCGAATTTTCTCAGAGTATAGTTGACGTCTCGCAACAGCATTGACCATTGAAAGCTTTTGACTTTTCAATTATTTTAATACGACAAGTTTTGCTGTATTTATATGTTTAAAGGATTATTTCTTTGGTTCCGTTGAACACTTAAAACGAATGGTGTTTTTGCCAACAAAAAAATGAGAATAAAATTTTTTGCGTGTCTAGTGAATAATGTCGTATGATCTTGCGTTTTGGTACGTAGTACACCGAGCGATTCACCGAACTCCACAGCTACCCAATTATTGCTCAATTTTCTCATTTTCTTCATATTTTTTATTGAAAATGATTCGCACGCGATTTAAATTACATGTTTAGCAATATTTTTTTTCATGTAAAGTAAGTATAAAGAAATATAAGAATTAGGTTATATGCATATTTGAGAGAAATTAAAAAAAAAACTGGTTAAAAATAGGTTTTCTTTTGTGAAATCTGTAGAGACACATTAATAATTCTGAGGTTGTGCAAAATTAAAAAAAATCGCTCGGTGTACTGCGTACCAAAACGCAAGATCTCACGACATCTAAATAGAATCCACATTTTCCAACGATACATTCGAATATTGGAAAAAGCTAAAATATTGGAAAAATTCGATTTTTTGCTTTTTTTTTTTTTAATATTTCTCTGAATTAAGTTACCTGTAAATCTGCGGTGATTGTTGAAGACATTTGTACATTTCCACTGTCCTCGTCATATCAATAAAATCTGAATGAATCAAATAACGACGAAATTTAAGGAAAAATGGTATTGTTTTTCAAACGGGCCTTATATGATTTTTTTGTCGCGAAATTTTGCATATGAGGAACTCGAGAGCAAATAATCAAATTTTGCTTTGATTCGGAAACGGCTAGATTTTAGCCAGCCTCTTTTTTTTTCTGGAAATGAATTATAGTGCCAATTTTGAGAGATTTTAGAATTGGAGAGAAAATTGCCAACGTTCGTAACATGAATTTTTTTGGGAAAAAGTCATGTAAGCTTCAAGATCCAGACTGCTTTTTATGAGCATGTATACATAGAAATCAGATAACTGGAACGGGTCTCGCAAAGAAATAATAAAACGCGAGAATGGAATGAATAAATCAAACGATATTTTGATGACAATGTTTATTAGATTGATTTCTCATTTCCGGACTGATTTTTTTTTCGTCATTTTCTTTTTGGTTTTTTATACAAGCTGTAATATGACGAATGTATGTAGATTTCTCACGCTGCGCTTGAGCGAAGATTGATTGGCCTCACGTTATCACAACAACGTGAACCAGATCTTCATCGAGAGACATCCGCTGTCGTTACCGACTTCGAAATCAAGCAAAATTATTCACATCATAGTGTTCAAGCTCAAAGTACAGTTATCGTTCGTGCAATTTCCTGTCAATATCATCCATATGAATTGGATGATTCAACGTCTGAGCATGTTGCCGTTTTAACAACGCCCACGCCTGACATCGCCTGCATTTTACCACCACCACAACCGTTATCCATCACTTTTCATCACATCACGAGATCAACTGTAACATCCCTTATTGTTTCATCAATATCACGAGCTCAACATCCGTCGGCCCACGACATTTCTCACTGTCGCCCACAAACCACGCCCATTTTCGGCGTATTTAAGGACACCGTCGGAGCGCAGCAACTCGTCGTACTACTCATTTTATGTTGTTATTATATTTGTTATTTATTGCCCGTTACGTTATCGAATAAAGTTTAATTACCCAAGTTTGAGGTGAACCACAACACCACTGAACCACCGACCCCTAAATTTGGCGCATCGACCCCTAAATCCGCATCATGTCTAAAGTTCGAGACCCCCAATATTACATCAGGAAGAGGAAAATGACCTGGGCTAGACACGTTACTAGAAGAACAGATGGAAGAAGGGCTACTCTTCCAACTAATCGTGGAATTGCACACCGCCAAGAGGAAGGCCTCCCATGAGATGGTCGGACTCGCTTCGGAAGGAGATCACCACAAGAACAGCTGAAGGAGCTCTAATCATCTCGTGGTCCATTCAAGCCAAAGACCGAAAAGCTTGGAAGGCTGTGGTTCGCGCCTCAGCAGGCGAAGGACGAACCGAATAAGTAACGAAGTACGTGCGACAAGCTGTCATTCGAACAATGTAGATTTAGAGCATGTGCTTTTGAATGTGATCACAACGAAGATGATCTGCGAGTAGGAGATTTCGAATTCCCGACAAGTTTCTCGGTGCTATTGAAAATTTCAGGAATTTTCATCTCGACAAAATTCTACCCGAAGGCTCCCGATTCGAGAGCAGAGCTGCACGGAATTCCGTCTTACGTCTCCGTCTTGCATTTGCGGAAAACCGGCGAAAATTTTTTTACATAAATAAATGGAGTATAGTGAAATGCGAACTTGATTTTGGGAAAAGTTAAACATATACAGGATGGGTATCGAAACAAATTTGTGATGTCGCAAGCACATGTCCAACACTATCATGCGGCTCAGATCTTTCGGGGTCTCTCGCAGCAAAATATCATTGAGATTTGTACAGAAAACTGGTATAACAAGTATGAATAGAAAATAAAGCGGTGCAATCTTGAATTATTGTATTCACAAAAATCGGCTGTGAAGGACGACTTTGAACGATTTCGGCTTCATCGAGAAATCGTGATTCTTCGACATCGATGGCAATCCTTCGCTTGACGGGCATATCTGAAACTCTGTTCATCGATTCGTCCATTTTCATAAAAATCACCTTGAACTGATTGAAAAAGTTGGCGAGGAACAGGAACAACTCCATCCGTGCGAGACCCTCGCCGAGGCATTGGCGTTTTCCGATCGAGAATGGAATCAACTCCTCGATTCTCTTCAGTTTTCCATTTTCGATGAATCGGTCGGGATTGAATTGATACGGCTCCGGGAACACTTTCTCATCGAGCATAACCGTGCTAATTTGGGCAATTACGCCCGTACTCTGCTTGATCGGATATCCACGAATGACGGTGTCTCGTGCGGTTCGGTGAAGAACATTGATCGGAAGGATGTTGGCGCATCTTTGGGTTTCCTTTAAATCATTTAGAAATTCGAATCGAGAAGTTCATTGGCAATCTCACGTTAATAAATGCGCTCAAATATGGCAATTCGTTTTTATCGCTGGTGGTAATGAGTCGGTTGCTCGAAATCACCTCGTCCAGCTCGCGTTGCACCTTTTCAATAGTTTCCGGATAATTGAGAGCATAAGTGATCGCCCATGAGAGGGTATGAGTTGTCGTGACGAGACCCGCGAACCAGAGATCAAGAATCACATTCGAGAGTTGGAGGTCGCTGAAAATTTCACATTCAGGTCACTTTAAATTTGGTCTCGTCACGAAATGTTATTTCTTCAAAATTCATTCAACTCAACAATTATTAAAATCATGCTGAAAATACATATGCATACCAGAATGTGACAGCGTCGCCATCACGTTCTCGTTTCCTCTGCTCCTTTAAATAAGCTTCAACAAAATCGGCATTATCAACGGCATCGTAGTCGATGTTCTCCTTGTGCTCCATTATTTGCCTATTGAAAAACTCGTAGAATTTCTGCTTGAACTCGTCGATTCTGAATACGTCATTGAATATTCGAAAATCCCCCGTCATGAAGAAGCCCTACTTGTCATTGATATTTGGTCTTGGCATCAGATGTCGTAGAATCGGGATGTAGCTTTGAAGGAGAATTGAGAACTTCGAGAATGTCTCGGTTTGATAATTGATGAGACCCTTCATATGATCGAGCTCCCAAGCTTTTTCCTTAATATTTGTGACATTTTTCCAACGCCATTTTTCATCTTAAAATACCCCTTCAAACCGATATCCAAAAAGGACGAGATTGATGACATTTCCAACAGATCGGTCCAAATATTCCTTAATTGGTAATTAATTGCCACTGACTTGGGCTAACTAGCGTACTGTGACTTCAACTTCTTGTCCTTGAAGTTGTTGGAGGTTTTTGAAGCTTTCTCGAATTTCCAGAAGAATCTTCTCCTGCATGACAGCTTTGCCGAGTCCGAAGTCCCTTAGAGTGGTTAGCGCGAATCGTCGATGCTCTCTCCATAGATGGCCGTTCGTGTCAATGATTCCGTATGACCCACCTGAAAGGCACACGCTCAATTCTCGGCAATTCGATCGCGTCTCGCACCTCTCATTTTAAGTTGAAGCTCGTGCTGCGACTTCTCCGCATAGGCGTCGCCGTCCTTCACGAACGTCTCCTTCATCAGATCAAGACTCGCAATGATGATATAGGGATTGCCTCCGATCCAGAACGTGAAAACGTCACCATAGGTCCTTTTGCATTCGAGGAAAGCCTCATAGCCGGGAAGAACGCGATACAATTGAATGATGTTGCCCAAAAATGGCAGTGGAACGGGTCCTGTTAACAATGATTATTTTGCATGCGCGTTGCTCCATGAAATTGTTTCTCACTTTATTTATCTAGATCAAAGTATTATAGATAAAAAATATTCCCATTTTGTTGAGAAACTCTTTTTTTCAAACCTCAACACACTTTGAGATTCTAAGTTCATAGGAGATTCTATTTCATTAAGTAGATCAAGATCTAATACAACAAGACCTTAATTTGATTTCATTTTCGTCTCGCCACGACATTTCCATTCCATGTGTCACTAATTGCTACCGTTATCTCGTGACTTGGTTGTGTAACTATGGCAATTCAGCGAATTGTGTAAGCCCTTACAACAATCAATAGAATCTCGTCAATTATGGTAATTTGAAATAAGGAATATGCAGAGCACAAAGTTCTTGAAAATGTAGGGCTTCTTTTCGAAATGCTATGTAGGACCACGAGAAAAAATGTTATAACATATGAAGAAAACATTATCCAAATTTGGGCTATTTTTAAAATACATATATTATTAAATTTTTTAAAATCCTTCCACAACATTTGAGTGATGAAAACCAGGCAAAACTGAATACCTGGCGGCAGATATCGTCGCTTCCAGTAGACGTGGTAGAATATGAACAAGATGAGAAGAATCAGGCTGATGACGAGAAGCATTATTTTTCCTGAGTTAGAATCGCATGCAATTCAATGCTGTTTTATACTCATTTCTCAAACTCTGGTTTGTGCTTACTGCGTGGGGGGGGGTCTGAGAGCGAGAGCGAGAGAGGAGAGACGCAGACACGCAGACAGACAGCGAGGTTCACCTGCGAATTTCGCAATGCGCGGCTTTTTTTTTCAAATGCTAGACATTAAAAATCAAAAAAAAATCGAATTGAAAGAAAAAATCTTGACGGGGCATCATTTGAAAAACGAGATAACAATGTCGGGAAACAGTAGAATAAGCTTTGGCATGCCATATAGAGACTAAATCAATTTTAAATCAAAGTTTTTTATACGAATTCTATTTTTACTTTTCAGTTTGTTTTAAAATTTCATGATGATCCATCCACTGTGACTAAAACTATGTACGAAATACCAAAAGTTCATAGACTCCATTCCAGCATCGAAATGATCATACACACGTATGAAAAATTTTTTCACATTTTTTCATAAACTCTAAAAACTCAAAACGAACCCTATGTATTTTTAAGTGGCAAAAAACAAATGAAATAAAATTTGAAGAAATTCCCGTTCACATCGACTTATTCCACGATATCGCCACCGCCGACAATTGAATTGTCGATCTCCTCTCGACGATCGGACGAAACAATCCTTTGATACCGTCTTGAACCGGCTTCGTGAAAATGATCATGGCAATCGTGGAGAATGGGCCATGAAACGAGATCACCAATATTCCGATGTAGGCAATTACTAAATCAGAATTCGAGATTTTTCAAAGCGATTTACAACAAGAACAAACCGTCATTCGTCAAAACGTAAACGATCGCGTATAAAAATGTGGCAATTGGAATAATGAGCATTATGCAATGAACGAGGCCCTTTAAATGTTTAAAAAATATTTTTTGTGATAAAATTATGTAAGTATTTTTTCTTTTCAAGAATAGCGACTTTCAGAATTATTCGAGTTACGCTAGCCGCTTTTTTTGGAAAACTAACTATTTAAAAAAGTTCCTGTAATTGTTTTTTATTTCGGAAACAGATTTTAAATTATAAGGATGCTATATCAGATGAAAATGCATTTTTCATGTATACCCGATTTATTAAATTTTAATTTTAAAAATTTGAATCTCAACTCAAAAAAAAATATACACCGTTGACACACAAAATTGCGCACACAATGAATTTCGGATTCATTATTCCTATCGCCTAAAGAAAAAAATTCAATTATTTAAGTTTCCTTCATTTTGACATTAATTTTGAAATTTAAATTGCTGTGTTGAATGATATAATGGTCTGCTATGTATAACCCAAAAGCTAATATTTTTCTTTAAAAAAAGTGTTAATTTGGGTAGGAGCTATGTATAGTCGACGTCCGTCGACTGCTGTACGCGGATGGATTTACGCGCATGCGCCTTGAAAAGGTCTCGCCACGCGTGAATGCTTATTTTGCTGTTTTCACGTGAACTGCTTCATTTTTCTTGATGAGTTTCGCATTTCTTTTCCAGCATCATTTGATAAAAAACATTATCGAACCGGTCCATAAAATTTGAAATAACCTGTTAGTTATTGCGAGACCATTTAGAAAGACGCATTCACGTAAATCTACCCGCGTACAGCAATCGCCGGACGCCGACTATAGTTTTAAACATTATTTTTTCTCGAAATCATCCATTTTTATTTCTTTCTGGCACTCAAAACCAACGTGAAAAACGGCTACTAGTGAGTATAAATGATCGGACCTGCACAACCAAGCTGATGAGCAGCATTCGTTGCAAAGCCACAGTTCTCGCCGACATGTTGCTCCTCATCTCGTCAAGCTTCTTCAATATCCCTCTAGTGGTCGTCGTAATAATGATACCGCCAAGAATGCACAGAATAACAATGATAATGAGAGTGAGAATCATAACAGTGTCAGAGAATGGCGGAGCAATGACCGTCGTGTTGCACATGATCTCAATCGGAACGGCATCGTTGTATTTCTGAAGAAAGTGGATAGGCCTCTCAGGCCAATTAGCAGGGGATCGTGAGAAATGGCCTGGCTTGTGATTTTTGGCTTGTTGCCAATAAGACAATTGCCAATAATTTATTGGAAATCGCTGAATGGGGAAACATGCAGCAGATTTTACGGAAAAATGAATTGATTCAATTTTTAAGTGTTTTTAATAAATATGTTATCGAATAAAAACTGTGTTTAGTTGCTTTCATTAAACTAACGGAGACTACTAAAAATATCTAATCATATACATATATGTATATATATATATTTTTGCTCCCCGGCAAGAAACGGGGAAATTATTGGCAATCATCAATAATTTTTTCTCGGTAATGGCAGTTCAATAGCCAAATATCACAAGCCAAAAATCACGAGCCGAAGAATATAGTAAGTACGAGCCACATTTTGCGAGCCAAAAATCACAAGATAAGCCACTTTTCACGAACCACTGTTAATTGGCCAATATCTCATCAAATTTCGTCGAAAAAGAGCATCTATAGTTGTTCTCAGCAAAGTGTGGCCATTGGTCAAATCACTACAAGGCTAAATCAATTTCGTGGAATTGACACCGCGTCATTTTTTAAAAACATTTATTTGATCACCGCTACGCTGGTTTCGATTAGCTGGTGTATATCAGAGTATTGTTAGGATGACATTAAAATCGGCTTTCTTTTTTTTTGAGTTTTGTATAAAATTTAGGGGAGGGGTGAAATTTGCGAAAATTGTGTGGCCGGTGTGGCCGTGGCCGTGGCGTCAAATGTATTTGTTGCGAGGAGCAAGAAAAATGAAGAAAGGTATCAGCAATTTAAATCCTGCGGTTACGGTGAAAATCACGGTGTTTACACACACACACCAGAGTTGGCGCGCAAATACACGAAGTTGAGTTGTTGGATTGTTTTAGGCCCGGGCCCGAGAAGTTTGATTGGTTTTCGTTGTTGATTTATATTTTTCCACCGTGCTGCTTATTTATTATTGTATTCTCATCCGATAACTAATTAAATTGCGCTTCGTTCGTTATTGTTGTCTAACGCTTATTTTAGATAAAGAAAAAAAATTGTAATTCGAGTTCTCGACTTACAACAGTATTAATATAATTTGTTTCGTTTATAATGAAAACATTGTCATTCGTGTGCTAAATTCGAAATTAATCACGCAAATTTGAGGTTAGAATAAACTGTTGGCGTACACTCTTGGTGAAAAACCAATTTGTTCGAGTTCATCATCTCAACCGAAATTGCAGGCAAAATCAATGATCTTCGAAATGTTTGCGAAATGTCTAAAACTCCCATCTAACTCGAAACATCGAACGGAAAGTCGCGCAGACTTTGAAATTCACAATTATAGTACATATACAGTATTCCCAAAAATGTAATCCTGTGTATATTTATGGTATGTTCGATTCGCAGGTGTACCATAGTACAATTACATCCGACTTCCTACTGCCCAAATCGAAACTTATATTCCCTCCTCGAAAAAATATGATGATCCACAACTACGGGGGGGGGTCATTGATATATTTTAAAGGCACATAATTACTCGTAGGTCACTTACATCGAACAATTGATTTTTGTAGAGCAATTGATGAGACAGACAACTCGGAAGTGCACACCCTGCTATAATTGGTGAAAGAATGCAAAAGCCATAATTGACTTTGTACAAATTGCGAACCATTGAATACGACTTTGAGGTTTTGTCGATCGCCACATTATATCGATATCGGAACATTTCAAGAATTGAAATAAAAATGTCTGTGAAGAAAATGATTGAGAACGAATTCATATAATTGACCAATTACGCATTATCAAATACATTAAAGCGTAGAACGCGAGAAGGCCGTTCAAATCGAAATGCATCAGAATTCCCGTTGAACGGAAGACTGGGAATGGCAGATATGTCATTGGTAGCATTAATAAGGATATGTAGACCTCGAACACGATGTTCCTGTTATTCAATGTGTTGATTGTTCGGTTCAAAAACCCTCGTTTTACCCAAGAATATGCCATAGTAAGTAGTTTTTATAATTTTTCAGCACTTTTGTGGTTTTTGAGACGAGCACATAGATGGAAACCGAGTATAATGGAATTGTGACCAAATGAAGATAATGCATTAGAAGTCTGAATTTCGAATTTAGTTTTTTGTAAGGTTTTGTAAACGAACAAAAAACTGAATTTTCTCAGAGTATATCGATCTTTAAAATTTCAAGCGAGATCGATTTTTTGACAATTTTGAGATCGAGCGCGCACACTGAAGATAGTTTCAAAAAATTGAAACAATACATTCCAATATTGGGAAAAACAAATGAAATATAGAAAAATTCGATTTTTTGCTTTTTGAAATATTATATCAAATAACTTTACCTGTAAATTTGTGGTGATTGTTGAAGGCATTTGTACATTTCCACTGTCCTCGTCATTCCATCTAAATCTGAAGAAAATGTTTCAAGAAAAATCGTTTGGTTTTTTAAAACGAGACTTTTATGATTTTTTGATTTGTGGCAAAACGTTGCATATGTGGGCTTCGAGAGAAAATAATCAAATTTTGGTCGGATTCGGAAACGGCTAGATTTTCGCCAGCCTCAGTTACATATTTTGGAAAATGAAACGTAGTAATGCCAATTTTCAGAGGCTTTAGAATCGGACAGAAAATTGCCAAAGTTCGTATTAGGCGCTTTGTGAGCTTCAAAGTTCTTATTTTAATTATTCTAGATTAAAAAAAAACTATTTTTGATTGAATTCCAGACCGATTATTAATGAGCACGTATACATATATATGCGATTACTGGAACGGGTCTCGCTATCGTGGAAGAAATAATAAAACTGCGAGAATGGAATGAATAAATCAAACAATACTTTGGTGACAATGATTATTAGATTGATTTCTCGCAACATTGTCGGACAATTTTTTTATTCAATAATTTTTTTTTCTTTCAAACTATGTACATACAGTGCTCCACATACCATAATAATAGAATGTGTTGTTTTTGTGTGAGACCCCCAAAATTTGAAAAAAAATGAAAAAATATACCCACCCCAATTTTGTCGAATACAGGGTGGCTGAAAATTACCCGGGCTATATGAAAACCAATGTATGTATTTCAGCGAATAATTGTTCAAACACACTCAAATTTCATATTTAGTTTATTTTTACAATAACAAACATAAATAGATTATCGGCGTTCGATTCGATCTCCGCGGTTTCTGATGACGGCGCGAAGACGCTTCGGATATGCGTCGACCGTGGCGCGCAGGTATTCCACCGACAATTTGTCCCATTCATCGATCAGCGCGCTTTCTTTTTAGAGTCCAAATTCGGGTGGGGCATAGCACGGTCCTTACTCTGTAAGACCCCCCATACGGAGTAGTCCAACGGATTAATGTCAGGAGACGAGGCGGGCCATTCTGTTGACTTGATGAAGGAGGGGAAATTGTTGGCGCACCACTCCTGCGTAAACTTTGCAGTATGAGCTGGCGCCCCGTCCTGCTGGAACACCCATCGTTGTCCACCAAAGTGTTTTTGGGCTTTGACACCATTTTACACGAAAATCAGAGGACATTTGCCATTGGAGCAGATGGCACCGAAGACCATGACGCTGACGGGGTGCGACCACTTCATTTTTTCAGAGTTTTTTTTTCGATATTTTTTTCGAATATTTTCGTTATGTGGAGCACTGTATAATTGACGATCGCCGATTTATGGGCGTGTGTGTTTTTGAATGTGATCACGACGAGCGTGAGCTAACAGTTGGGGATTTCCCCATAAGTCCTAAGCGGTTTCTCGGTGCTCCGCGAATTTTCATCTCGACAAAATTCTCGCGAAGGCTCCCGAAGGCTACGAGCAAATTCCATGAGGTTTTCTGAAGACTTTAGAGCAATTCATGGAATATACATATATTTTAGTTCATGCGAGCAAAAAAAAAACGTGCCAGCTGGATAAAAAACACTACAAATTTCCGCGTGGACTGCCCAACTAGGTGGCCTAAAATTTTTCGCGTCCACGGCCATTTATTTTTCGTCCAGGACGGTTCGATTTCTCGAAATTGTTTTTCTTATCTTTTCTTTTTTTCAGGTGTTTATAGGTTATGAAAATTGAAAAAATAAACACATCCAGCTAATTAATGTTTGTTGTGGGTTTTAATGTACTTGCATTTAATACTCAGTCAACGCGTAAAGCTACACACTCGCCAATCTATATTATACTGCTTCCCATCCCCCTTAATTCGTTTGAATTCGACAATCCCCTGTTTGCATACATATCTACCTTTCCTGTACAATACAAAATTATCAAAATTCCAATCTATAATTACAAAAGTACATAAATTGACGAAGATTGTGGATTGCGATGATTATGCATTGTGAGGAGTATGATCGGTTTGATAAACAATTTTCGAGTGCCTGAAATTCATCTCTAAAAACAGTTTTAGCAGCAATTTGTTACGGAAAATCAAGTAGCGCATTTCGTCGATGATGAGCATCGCACAAATCGCGTTGATTGCCGGATAAATAAGCGAGGAGATCGAGTAAAACTCGGCTAATATATCGATGTTAATCGAAATAATTGGGCTCAGAATCAGAAGGAACATCGGAATGATATAGAACGATAGAGTGATGAATCCCTGAATTCATTTTATGACTTCTTTATTTACAGTAAAACAAATCAACCTGGGCAATCACTGTGTAATTGAGACTTCGATTCATGTTGTAGCATTTCTCGCATCCGGAGACTAAATTACATTTGATCATTTTGTATCCCGTGAAAATCATTACTCCAATTGTTCCGATCTAAATTGACAATGCGCCTTTAAATTTGGTTTGTCTATTTTCAAAGTTACGGTCATAATTGATAATAAAAACATTGCAATAAGGTCGTCATAGCAGATATTCATTTTGCCCGAAGGATCGTGCGACTGTAATCATGTCCATTTTGAGGTTCTAGCAATACCAATATGCGCCTTTAAACGCTTCCTCATAACGTTAATGTTTAAAGGCGCATGATCGTAAATGTCTCCCTAGTAGTGTACATAATACTACTTACATAGTAAATGATGCCGGAATAAATTTTTCCAGAGATATTCAGTGTCTTGAAATTTAGCAAAGGGACTCTAGGAATTTTATTATAGAATTGGAAAAAAATGGAAACGACTAGCCCATTGCATTTTGAGTGCATAAGAAACACGTTCTTCGACACCGTCATCCACATCAAAATCGAGCTGAACGGAATCACAAAAAGATATTTGAGTTTTCGATAATTGCATCCCATTAATGCTCTCAAAAAGAAATTTGCGAAATTATTTGAGAAGCCTAAATGCTCACCCGGAGACGTAGAAGAAGCGCTGAAAGAATAGAGCGGAGAGGCAACAAATGCAGAAGCAGTAGCAGAAGAAATAGAGGCCTGTGGAATGAAAAAAAAATTGATTAACAATTGATTGTCTGAAATCGTTCTAAACAACCATAATTTTACTTGAAAAACCTTGAGATTTAATTTTGTTATGCTCCTTTAAACCGCATTTCAAAAAATAAATTCAATTCCGTTTAAAGGAACGTTTCGGATTATTTTTAAGTATTCTATTGGATCTTTTATGGAAAATCTTACAGGGATGGTGATTGCATCTGTTTTTATGTTACGCTTTAATATTTTTCCAATTTGTCTCACAAGGGCACATTTTTGACTAATCGTGACGAGACCCAACGAAATTATGAATATTGTCACTTACAAGCCAGCAATTTTCCAATTGATTTATGATTTCCGATGGGCGTTCCAGAGACAAAAAATACCGAGTTCACATTTTTGACAATCAACTGAAAAATCAAAATCGCTATCAATTCGTTTAGAAATCTTGTCGAACCGGATTGAAAAACGCGTTGATGATGACATTGATGATGGAGAAGCTTGCGAATGCGATTAGAAAGCGCTTCGCACGTTGGAAATACGGCGTCGGTGTTTTATTGAACAACGCTATGAGAGCCGCATTGCTCAATGCCGAAATCACGAACGCGCAAGAGCGCAGCATTCTCAAAATGAAAATGAATTGATGGAAACAAAACGAATCGTTTCTATAGTGACTGATGATATGGACAAATCGAAAACAAGACAGCTCATCTCTCTTGGGAGTTGAGACGAAAAACGAACTCCGCTTGTGTCAGGTACGAGGCAAAAAATGCGAAAAATTGGATGAGTGCTCACTGGCATGGAAATCTCTCGAATTTTCGGGTGATTCATAAAACTTGATCAAATTTTCGAAATTCCAAATTGCGCAGATTCATAAGCACCGAAACTTTGAACATTTCTATGTTTTTTTCAAATTCGATATTGAAAAAATTGCATTTTGTGGGCTACCAATTAATTGAAATCGCTCCAAGATTCTTAAAAATATTGTATTAAAAAAAAATAGCAACCGTAATCGCAAAACTCGGATTAAAAAAATAAAATCGTTCCGTTTTTAAAGGTGCATTCTATAAAATTTTATGATTCTTGCTGAAATTTAATAAAAACTCTAGTACTGTAGACTTCGAAAAACCTGAACACGGCCGTGATTTTTTTCGCAATCTGCATTGGGTTTTGTTGGGATTTTTACAAGTTTTTTGCGCTTTCTCATATGATGATAGTTAAATCAAACATAAACTGCTCCATAGCGATTTTCCATGCGAGACCCAAAGTTCAAATTCTAATGATAATTAAATCAATCGCACCCCAGTCGTCTCGTCGACAATTTTTTATTCAATGAATAGTGGGCGTGGCATCAAAATTGCAATGCCGCACAATGTTTTTTGCAATTTATGCACATTTTTCTTAATTTTATTTACTGAAGATCGAAATAAAATTGAGAATAATTCATTCACCCGTTAATAACAAAAAATAATGTTGAACATATGTATATCAAAAAATAAGGAATAATAGCTCAATTCGAAATTCTAGAACACGTAATAGAATGGTATGATGGAAGAAGGATGCAATTGGAATAATAAATTTTTAGGTCTCTATTGGAAAATGAGTTTGACATGCTCATCAACACCGAAACGAAGTTTGTGCTCATCGAATAACTCGCTAAGCGCCTTCATATACTTCCTGTGGAGCTCGTCGATTTCTTCTTGGGTGGGATTGGTCGACTTGGTGACTTCTAGAGGTGCTCCAACGACGACATTGACGGGCTTGTTTAGAGGAAGGAAGCCAAGACCCATCTGAAAAAAAAAACATTTAGTTGAATCATGAAGCAATCTATTAAAAATGACCAACCTGGAAGTACCCTCTTCCATAAATCAGCGGCAACGAGATGCCCGTTTTGCTTTTGCCCCACTCCTGGAACTTTCTCAGGAACGATCCTTCCGGATTGTCGACCTGCTTGTACACATTATTCTCGCCGAACGCGTAAACCGGCACCAATTGGGCTCCCGTCTTCAGCGCCTCTCGCACGAATCCCTTGCGATTCGCCAATGTGAGCGTATGCTTGCCGGGATGGGCGTCGAGCGCTTCGGCGGCGCCGCCAACAACAATCACCAGCGCTCGTCCCTTCTCGTCGGAATCCAGAATGTGCTCGATCGATTCTTTGGAGCTCTCAACGAGCCCGATGCTGAGCAGCACTTCCCTTCGAATCATCGCTGTGAAGTTTCCGGGAAGAGTGCAGACATTGAATCGGATCCCGTTGAACAATTCAAAGGCCCCGCAGCCATTGAAGCCGAACGATGACCATGCTCCGATTCCTATGATCCCATGTGGATGATATCCGAGTAGATAATTCTGTAAAGATTTTTTTAGAGTTTTTATTTTTATGGAAAATTTGTTCAGCGCTAATCAAAATGCCCAAAATTTTTCAAACCGCTTACCTTATTTGGTGGTAATTCAGCGGTTTTGTGAACTCGCACCGGAAAGTAGTTGGCGAACCATTTATGGATCTGAAGTTGCCGAAACCAGAGACTACGATAGCCACCGGTTCTTGGCGTCTCGCGATCGTAATAATACCAAGCCCCATATAAGGCAAGAGCAATCCATTGATCAGTGAAGAACTATAAAAATCAATTGTCTAAAAATGAGAAACAATTGAAATATTGCTTACCAATAAAAATGGTAAAAATTGAACCAAACAGCATATCGGGTAGATCAAAACGAACCAGAGAAGGACGGCAAAATAGGCTTTTTGGCGGTCCCACGGCGAAAACACGTTGACCCATTTGATATTGGTGAGTTGGGTCGCAAATCGATAATTGAACATTATTGTTGAAAAATCTGCAAAATAGGCGAAGTTTGATTTGAAATTCGAGAAATGGGCGGGAAAAATGAATGAAGTCAGAAGCGGAGATCAAAAATCGCGAACAAAATGCAACGAATAATAATTGAGGTTTGAAATTCATTTTTGATGAACGCAGTGTTCTTTATTAAATATTGAGTGGCCTTATCAGGAGGATCAGATAGACTAGACGATTCAATGCTGAATTCGCAATTTCTGTTCTGAGTCATGTGAACGAATTTATGTAATTATGGATTGAGTTTATTATCAAATTTTCTGATGCAATACTATCGAATCTATCAAATTTTCAGAACTCAAAAGTATTGAAAAATTAATTGTTTAATATTACAATCTTAAAATGAAACGATAATTCTGCTTAGATTTAATATGATTGTGATCAGTTTATTGGTAGTATGGTGCACTAATTAACATTTTTTGCAAATTTTCATCAACCGAAAAGATATAATTTTTTGCAGTCCGTCTTAAAATGTTTTTATTTCTTGCATACAGATTCTTCAGACAATTTCCAATCGAATGAAATAGGTCTCTTTCTAAGGGTCCTTATAATTTTCAGAGATTATAACATATAAAATATGAAATAGTGCTGAAAATAGAGACTGTTTTGAAAAATTTAAATAATTCATGTCAAATTTTTATTTTAATCTTTTGGCAAATTTTTGGAGGCGAATTTACAATATTGACTGTAGTTTTACTTACGTTGAATTGTATTTAGACAACGTGAAAGTTGTGAATTTATGAAATTTATATTTTTGACAATTTCCATTTGAATAAAATGTGCATTTTGTTTTTGCATTTTTCATTGCACGAATAGGTCCATTAGAGACCATATCGGACCATTGCAATTTTTAAGTGTCGTCCACCGAAGGTAGTCTGCATTTGACAGTATCGGCTTGAATATTCGACATTGTCAAAGACAGCTGATTTTGAATAGCAAACAAATAGTTAAGTTCGGGCCAAGGATCAAACTATTTTAGGCCATGGGTCCATTCAATTTGCATAAAAGATTATTGGCTTTTTTCTGGAAATGGTCTCAAAACGATATAACACCAACAACCATAAGAACAGAATGTGTTGATTTTGTGTGAGACCCCCAAAATTTGAAAAAAAATGAAAAAAATAATTTTTAAAACGTTTAGAAAAAAAGAAGTATGACCCCGTCTGAATAAGGAAATGCTGATATGAGGGGGGGGGTTTATATTGGCATTCCTGATAAACACCTTATCATCGTAATTTGTGTACATTTCTGGGAACTCCATAAAAGACAAAGTTCAATTTATGATATAATTTGAATTGAACGAAGTGATCGAAGATCATTAATGGATTATTGAACAAAAAAAAACTTTGATTTGGGGAACGGCATTCGCGACGAACGTGATATTTTCAAGGATTTCGAAATCAAAGAAATCGAATTTGCACTCAAAATCACATTTTATTTTCATTCTAACGCATCTTTGACGACACTACGAATATTACAGAATATTAATTTTTTTTCCTCATTCGTTGCAGGACCTGAGAGATACCGGTGATGACTTGAAGAATTGATTTCGGGTATCATGATATTCGAATACCCTGAAATTCTCTAAAGTGCACAATTCTGAAATTAATGAAAATATCTTCTTCATAAAATTTTGAACGGATCAAGTTTTTTGCCTTGCATTTTTTTTCCGATGATAACGAATTTCAACTATTTTTCATCGACTTAAAACAGATACAGAAACACACGTTGAAGCTCAATATTCTGTTCAATGTCCATAGTTTATTACACGGTGTAGTAATGAGCAAGGTGCAATTCGTTTGAAATTGCCTTCCGATAACGTATCAGGCTGACTTGCAAGAAAATGTTTGTGCTCCACAACCCACTCGCTCACCGATCTCAATTTTTCATTATTCACGTGAAATGTGAAAGTTTGCGATAGCGATGGAATAGAGGACATCGACCATTTGGCGTATGTCAGCGAAAAATTTTTTGACAAACATATATGTGTATTTCAGATGCTGTTTTTTTGGTAATACATAAAGTTTAAAAATTGTTGAAAACACGTATAATCATTTCCAAAATAGCATTGAAAAATGGGAGAATGGAAATGAAATTTATAATTGCAAACGCCGACTTCGACATTATTCAAATAGTATAATCAATTTATTAGCGTCGCAAATAAAAAAATACGAGCTCCATGAGAGAGCGAGAGTCTACATAAATGTCAGTTGACGTCCGGTGAGGATCTTCTCTAGACGCTCGAACAATATTAGGATCCATGTTTCTCGAGGTAGAAACCGGCCTTCCGGGGTGGGCATCCCATCAAAATTTTTTTCGTAAAGTGTTATGATAATAAGAAATGATTTTAAACGGTTACATTTGGAAAATAACGTTTCAGTGCTTTATAAACAGCAGATATCGAGCACTGAAATTGTTGCGCCAGGCACTTGACAGCCGTTCCGTTTTTTCTTCTTCGAACGATATCTTCTTGGATGTTTTTTGAAAGATTCTTGGTGCAATATGGTCTTGTAAGATTGTTTTTGAGCAATTTTGAAAATATTATGACCTGCAGAGGCGTCTTATACATTACAATAATCATTAATTTAAAAAAAAATGAAAATTAAAAAAAAAAACAAAAATTAAAAAATTAAAAAAATGATATTTCAAAAGATACAAATTGTCGAAAGTGTGCTCTATTCTGTCAAAATTTCAGATCAATCGGCCAATTTTGAAAGAAAGTTATGGCTGGTTTTGGATAGAATTATGGCCAGAACTTTATATATACAGTACCGTGCAGTAAGATATACAATTTCACTTTTTTTATCATAACTTTCTGAAAAGTTGACCAATCGATCTGAAATTTTTGGACAACTTTAAGCATCGATAGAGTGATTATATGTATAACAAAATTAGAAGGTGTACAACACATTAGGAAAAATTTTATTGGCAAAAAATCAGAAAATCCATAATAGCGAAAAACCGACTTGAATAATTTTGATATCGGTACGACTTGAAATGAAATGGAAAGCAACAATTATCTGTCTGGAAACTTAAAACAACTCAATATCTTGTTGACATGTCATTTGCATCGATCACAGTTTGATATCGGAGACCCATGGCCTCGTCAACTTCGGGAGGGTTGAAATTGGAATATCCATCCATGATCTCCTCAGCTGCTCGATCATTTCGACACATTTTGTACAGTTTGACCACCAAGACGTCTACCAAGATCATCCTGCAAATGTTCAATGGGGTTCAAGACAGGTGAGTGGCTTGGTCAGTCCCTGACGGCCACCCTACGCTGCTAGACCCACTCTTTGATGTAGCGAGAGAAAAGTTTAGGATCATTATTCTGCTGAAATAAGTATCCACACCGAGCAAAGACTTTACAAACGGAAGCATATGGTTCTCGAGAAAGTCCTTATACATTAATCGATCCATATTTCCTTCGATTCGATGAAGTAGGCCAGCTCCAGAAGCAGTAAAACATCCCCAAACCATCACGCTTCCTCTTCCATGTTTCACTGTTGGTTATTGATGCTTTGGATCGAATCTTTTGCCACCCGGGCGCCAAATAAAGGTAATATCATCAGTTCCGATCAACATATACTTCGATTCATCACTCAATACGACCTTTGACTATTGTTGAAAAGTCCAATTCAAAAGCTCCTTATCCCACTTCAAACGGGCGCGGCGTTTCTTCTCCGAAAGGAGAGATTTTTTGACAGACCGACGTCCAAATAATCCAGAACCACGTAGACGGCGCTTGACAGTACTAACAATGATCTGTATGTGACTTTTCGTGAAAAAATTTCATGGTTTTTCGGAAAAATCTACGTTGACCTCATAGAACTGACTCAGTTGCCGATTAATCTCGGAAGCGGATAGACGCGGGTTGCTCTTGCTGATTCTTACAATTGCGCGATTGATTGCCGGGGATGTTTTGGAAGGATTTACAAGTGGTTTGGAATCCGATCGAGGTTTCAAACATCCACAAATGGTCCAAGTTGATGAGTTCAACTGGTGTGATAGACATTGGATGAAAAGACCTTGTGCTCGGTCATCCTTGATTGCTTCAAAACGTCTGATAGAATGTTTTTTGATCATTTTGATCGTCTCCTGCTAAAACAAATAAAAAAAAAACTGATGTTAACATTGAAAATCTAAAAAAAATCGAAAAAACTTAAAAATTAAAAAAAATCGCATTTTTGAAAATACGCAAAAAAAGGTCCAAAAAACAAAAATTGCGTCTATAGTACCCCAAAATGAATAAATTATGTTTGGGAACACACTATCCGTTTTGTAAAAAAATTTCAGATTGATTGGTCAACTTTTCAGAATGTTATGATAAAAAAAGTGAAATTGTATATCTTACTGCACGGTACTGTATATGTGTATTATATATGGACTGTATCTGTGGACCATTGTATTATTTTTAGGCGTACAGCTGTTTAACGCGACTACCGTAATCGATCGCCACAAGACCCAACTCATTTTTCACACTATGAGCCTTTTGTTTTTTTTTAATTTCCCGCTATTACAATACAGTCTATAACATGGATTTACTCAATCCTAGAGAAATGTTCGAATTGGCCATTTCTATACAAATTCACGTAAAGCAACAAAAAATGCGTGACGCTGAATGGGTCCATCACAATTCTCATGGAAAATATCAAAAATTTTAATTATTGAAGTTTTTGAAAGGAAAAAGTAGGCGAAGTCTGTAATGAAAAACGCGCGGACCTCTTCCGGTCGATTCCGGTAGGCAATTGTTTTTTTCCCGGAAACTTACTACTACATATTTTCAGATTTTCTTAGTTTCAAAATCGAATAATTTCAGATCTTTTCCAGAGATCAAAGCGTTAAATAATGTTTTCGAGAGATTTTCGCGCAATATTTTCAATAATATGTTTTTGATGTAATATTTTTCATCATCATATTCATTACTGCCCTATTGTACACTTATTGGCAATTATATTTAAAGAATAACAAGCTACCTACAAAAAATATGTTATTCCATTTGGTTGATACCAAAAAGTATACCAAACCAATTTTTAAATGCAAACGATGATTATCAACTGTTTCCAATACGTAGGCTTCGCGTTTTCGCAGGCTACTAATTGGCTACTCCTCGTGCTAATTCTCAAATTCGCTGGCAACAAATATGGATCCTATAAATATCTTATGGTCTCATATTGCGTTTTCTCTTTGATATATTCTGTTGTTGAAGTGCTCAGCCAGCCAATCATGAATATTATCGGATCAGGCATGATTGTGTTCATTAATGGTCCTTTCAAATACCTTCATTCCATTGGAGATTATTGCGCAGGTTTGGTTTTAAAAAATTTGTGAAGAACCTTAAATATTTGATGTCAGCCATCTACTGCTCATCCTTCGGATTTTGCATCGCGCTCCTTGCCAACCATTTCGTATATCGATACATTGCAATTTGCAAGTAATGCTTATACACTTTAATTTTCCACACTTTTACAATTTCAGACCCCATCAGTTATATGAATATGAAAGAATCAGAATGTTGAAATTCTCCATTCTCCCAATAATTATGGGAGTTGGGTGGTTCTTTGCAGTCCAATATCTAGGAGCCCCATCGACGGCAAAAGCTGACTATCTAAGGTAAGATTGTACATGGCAAAAATTGTAATAAAAAACTCACTAATTGCTTTAAAAAAACCATATAAATATGTTGGTGTGACAGGTTTTTTTCTCCAATCTCTCTCTGCGTAGTACTATTATACAGTGCTCCACAAAATTATATACCCACCCTAATTTTGTCGAATAACTCGAAAACGCGAATAGCTCCAGAAATGGTTTCAATTAGAAAAATATGCGTATTTATTATTAGTTTAATGTTACATTCACAAAATTCAAAAAAAAATAGCAATTTTAAAAATTTCGTCATTTTCACGAAAAAGTGGAAAAAATTTTTCCACAAAATGATATACCCACTTGATAAAAAACACAGAAAAAGGCATCGAGAGTTAGAATTTGAAAGAAAATGAACATTTAGTAATTAACTGGACCTCCATTGAGTCGTGTTACATCAAAAATTCGACTGTCCATTGATAAATAAAGTTTGTCAAGAAGCTGTTGATCGACAAGCTTCCAGGCTTCCACGATTGCCTTTTTGAGATCCGTAGTTGAATGAAAAGACTTGTTGCCATCGTAAATCTTCTTTACCATAAATCCCCAGACATTTTTGATGGGTGTATGTCTGGAGAACAGGCTGGCCAGTCGAGAACTGGGATTCTAGGGCTGCGTATCGACTGGATGGTGCGGCGAGCGCGATGACAAGGGGCTCCATCTGGCATGAAAGAGTAATTTTTGTGCCTATTTCGACGCCAAAATGGCAACAGACCACGTCTCATGACGTATCGGTAGTCAGAACCACTTATCTTCGGATAACGAAGCACAACTTGACTCTTCCATGCGAGCTGATTGCAGCCCACACCATGACGCCTCCACCTTTGAAGTTTCTACGCGAAAACCGCAGCTTCTCTTTTCTCAAATCGTGCCAATAATCACGATAACCATCTGGCCCATCACAATTGAACTTTTTTTCATCAGAAAAGACTACCTGAAGGAAGAAAACGAGTTGAATGAATGTTGCAGTTATTCTCACTTGTCTCCAGTTAGTTCGTTGATTCTTTTTTGCAAATTCCAGTCGTTTTTCACGATGTATTCGAGTCAACATTGGTGCCTTCGTCATTTTACTGTGTTTGATGAAGGTGCTCTTCGATAAAACACGCCTTACGGTTTGATTTGTCAGCATGAGATTGAATTCCATTCGAATCGTTGAGCACGACACGGCCGAATTTGACGCTCTTCGCAAAATTTTGCGCTTATCACGGTCCGAAAGCAGTGAAGGACGACCTGTCAACTTTTTTTTGACCATATGCAGCTGGATTCTTAGCATATCGGCTAATAACATTTTGTGTGCGTCCGAGATCATTCCCAATTTGCCGATAAGAGAGACCTTGAGCCAGTTTTGCTTCAACTTCACCTTTTTCAAAGTCGGTGAGCGGCATTCTACGAGAAATGTCTTAAAAAACAGTAAGATTGCAAAAAAGTTCGAAAATTTCGAAAATATACGAAAAAAAAATATCGAAAAAACGCCAAAAAATGAAGTGGGTATATCATTTTGTGGAAAAAATTTTTCCACTTTTTCGTGAAAATGACGAAATTTTTAAAATTGTTATTTTTTGTTGAATTTTGTGAATGTAACATGAAACTAATAATAAATGCGCGTATTTTTCTAATTGAAACCATTTCTGGAGGTATTCGCGTTTTCGAGTTATTCGACAAAATTAGGGTGGGTATATAATTTTGTGGAGCACTGTAGTATCGGGTATAAGGCAACTAATCTGAAATTTCAGGACTGAAATAAAATCTACGCATGGTGTTGATATCAATGATTTATACTACATATCATTCTTGTATTATGTAAGGAAAAATTAGCCAAAATTTTCTTTAATTGATCATATTCAGTATAAAGAGACAAATGGGAAATTTGTGATTAGCTGGAAGGATCTTGCTGGCTGCTTTATTTGCTGCGTCGAAATGGTAACTATCATTATTATTATTTTCTACATATAGCTTATAAATGAGATTTTCAGATATTCAGCAACACGCTCATCGTGATATGCGGCTGGAAGACATACAAGTGTAGTATCGAAGTGGAAGCTGTCAGTCAAAAAACTCAGGATCTCAACGATCAGCTTTTCAAAGTTCTTCTCCTTCAAACCGTATTCCCGGTGGTTCTGATGTTCATCCCTGTCGGTTTATTGTGCGTTCTACCAATTTTCGAAATTGACGTTGGGGTAGTCGCCAATCTTCCCGCGCTCACCGTTTCAATATACCCCGGAATGGACGCTTTCGTTGCGATACTCATGATTCGCGATTTTCGGAATGCGCTGATTTGTTAGTTCGAAACAGAGATTCTTCTTCTTGATTGTAAATTCGTTTGATTTCAGGCAAGAAATGGAAACGGATAAATAAAACTCGAAATTCGACAATCACCTGGAATTTATCAAGTTGACTAATTGATAAATTGAGGGTGTTCGAATAAAAATCTAAATTGACATTGACAAGGGTAAGCCTTCCATGCGGGCGGTGACCGCCAGCGCCCGCGGCCACCAATTATTCGGCCATGTCACATTCCACGTACGCCATTATTTCGAAATTTTTAATTTATTTTCTCGATTTTTAATTAATTTTTTGTTAATTTTTCGCTAATTTGTTTTATAAATACAAAAACGAATGAACAATTAATTTAATTAATCAATTTTCCAGATGAAGACAGACAACTGCGAAGATGGAATATAATCGGTTTGAACAGGAGTGCAGCTCATTCAGTAGTGTATCTCGGAAGCTTCAAAAAATCGGAAAGATTCAAGAATCGAAAAGATCGTTGAAGAGGGGCATGTATGTACATACACAGGAGTAAAATAATTTGTGACTTAAATATTTCAAGTTGCGAAGCTTCAGAACGACTTCGAACTTTTTGGATGTTAATAATTTTAAGTAGTGGATTTGCCAAATTCGTTTAACATTTTTACTTGTTACGTATAGTCGGCGTCCGGCGACTGCTGTTACGCGCATGCGCCTTGAAAAGGTCTCGCCACGCGTGAATGCTTATTTTGCTGTTTTCACGTGAACTGCTTCATTTTTCTTGATGAGTTTGACATTTCATGGAATTTCTAACTTCGTTCGATTTAGAAAATTATCGAACCGATTCATTAAATGCAAAATAGCCAGTTAGTCCGTGCGAGACCAAGAGAAAGAAGCATCCCCGTAAATCTACCCGCGTACAGCAGTCGTCGGACGCCGACTATGCTTGTTTTCAAATAAATCATCATTAAAAAGTTGATTGCAAATATACAACAGGGTTTTAAGCCACTTTTACTATCATCACACGGGGGAAATTTGGGCGGGCGGACGGGCGTTTTTGCCACCCGCAAGGATTAGACAAGGGAATTCATTTTACCCTCAAACCCCCAGTGCAATATGCATTATCACGTTATCACGATCAGAATATTCAAGGAGAATTTTCATGGACCTTCCTTGTGAGCCCAATCAGCGCGAGAAGAATTCTAGCGTACTTTTTTTTTAATGGACATATTGACGGTTTCAAACGGCCGATCGAAATTCAAAACAAATATGTCTATGAGCCAAAGCGTCTGAACGCAACAAAATAGATACATAAATGATTGTAAAAGCGCCTTTAAATGGCGACGGAAAAGACAATCAAGGAACCTTGAGTTTCTTTTAAATTCTGCATTTTATTTTAAAAGGAGTATCCTCAAAAAAAAGCAACGTGAATATATCATCAAAACACATGAACTTTTTTGTGAAATTTGGTTAATTATCTATTCTTATCAATCGAAGAAAAATGAAATGTAATTATTTTGATTCGATTAGGAACGCATCCAAAAAATTTGAAATTAAAACTCTTTGAATCTGATTAATTAATATTCGAATCTTTGATTTTCATCTACCAGATTTTCTCTTGCACTAGCTTTTTGCTTGCACTAATACAGGCAACTATCGGAAAGTGAAATTTTTAAGAACAAGTGTAAATGTTTGTTTTTTTTTTAGAAAAGCTGCTTTATTAAGAAATCTATAAATCATCTCAATGAATTAAAAATATTGTATTATGACGTTTGAAGTTTATTGATAAGTTCTAATCTTAGAACCGTTGAAAACTTTTGTAGCATTTTGAATCGTTTGTCTGAGTTTGTTATAAAACAATTCAGTAATTCGTGTCCTTCGTATATATTACATATATTTAACTAATTCCTTATTAATACGTATTGTTGCTCGCCGTCTTCAATTCATACAGGGTGTCATTTAAGTTCCCGCACAACTTTGAAAACGTATATTTCTGAAACTAAAAGTCCAAATCAAACGAGACTTGAAATATTTTTTATCTATAGTATAACAAATAATTATCTAGTAACTCTTTTCGATTCGGCCTCCTTTCGCCGCTATGACTTCACGGAGACGCTTCGGGTAGGAGGCGACGGTGGTACGCAGGTATTCGATGGAAAGATTGTCCCATTCCGCCAGTAATGTCTTCTTCAGAGCCTCGACACTTGAGTGGGGTTTTGCGTTGACCTTCTCCTGCAAGAGCCCATCACGGAAAAGTCAAGCGGGTTCAGGTCTGGGGAGCAATCAGGCCATTCGGATGACTTGATGAAGTCGGGAAAATGGGTCTGGCACCACTCCTGAGTAGTTTTGGCAGTGTATGCGGGTGCTCCGTCCTGTTGAAAGACCCATTTCTGCCCACCGAAATGCGTTTGGGTCCAGGGCATCACATGCTTCTCCAAAATGTCCCGAACGTAGACTTCTTTGTTCACTTTCACCCCCTGATCCACGAAAACCAGGGGGCACTTCCCGGTTGAGCAGATGGCACCGAAAACCATCACACTGGCAGGATGTGAGGCTCGATGAATTGTTCTGCCTTTCTCAGAAGCTTGCTGGGATGTCTGGGCAAGTACTCGATGATTTTGTGGATTGAATGCCGCCTCCACAGTGAACAGCTTCTCGTCGGAGAAGACAGTGACGAGGTGTTCTCCAGACCGCGTGCGAGCAAGAAGTCGTTTTGCTTTTTCGAAGCGTCTCTGCTTGTTGACGGCCGATAGAATTGCCGCTTTTTGGACACGATATGGGGTCAGTCCAAGCTTCGTTTTGACGATTTGTTCCATAGCGAAGATGCTCATTCCCATGTCTGACGCCATCTTTCTCATGCTCCTGTGGGGGTTTCGCCTGATCCTCGATTTGACGGCGTTGATCTTCTGAGGAGTGGTTACCGAGACGGGTCTTCCTTGTCTGGGACGGTCACTGGTTGTATTTATCTCCTTGAAACGTTTGATGGTGTCATAAACCGTTCTACGAGGCACACCGAGGCGTTGAATGATGTCTCTTGGGCTCTCATTTTGCTTATAAAGTTCGATAATGGAAGCGCGATGGATGTTAGCCTTCGCCATTTCTCTGAAACCCATCCAAATGAGGTGAAACTTGGAAAGTAAGTAAAATATACCTTATTTAACAGAAATAAATTGTATTGGTGCACGAAAAGTGCGTCAGCGAAGCTCTTCATGACGTCAAACTTTTGTGCGGGAATTTAAATGACACCCTGTATAAAAATACACTTTGTAAAATACTAGAATGTGAATAATTGCAGCCCGTTATTTTCGGCGGCATCGAGTGCAATACAAAAATTGGGAGCTGCTCTTTTCGAACATCACCTCTCATTTTTCGTCATTTTTCTTCTTTCAATCTCAATGAGACTGGAGATGATGTTTGTGAATTATTTTCAATACGGTGCGTTCGGTTTTTCTCAAATTCTCAATTGGCTTCTTCTCTGTCTGATCATCAAATTCGCTGGCAAGAAGTACGGATCCTATAAATACCTTATGGTGTCCTACAGCATATTTTCATTGGCATATTCTGTTGTTGAAGTGCTCAGCCAGCCAATCATGAGTATCAAAGGGGCCGCAATGATTCTATTCATAAATGGTCCATTCAAAGATATGCATTTTATTGGAGATTATGTCGGAGGTGCATTCGAAATTTGTCTCGGTATGAATTATTCTTGAATTTCAGCCTTGTATTGCTCATCATTCGGCTGCTGCATTTCTCTATTGGCTGTTCATTTCGTGTACCGTTATCTCGCAATTTGCAGGTACATATGTAGTTATAGTCTGCTTCTCGAAAAGAAACAAAAAATTCTTGTAGCATCTTTTTTTTTCGTGATCTCATTAGTTAGATTCAAATTGTTATAGCCATGAACAGATGAATTTGATATTCGCGGGCTGTCATTAAATTGGTCCCGCAAAATAAATTGAACTGATATACCATGACAAACTTTTTAACTATGGGGCAATGCAGAACAATTTAATGAAAAATGGAAAAAAGAAAAAAAATCGCGTGTCTTCGTTGGATTCGAAATATGTATTTCGAGATGGCAACTCAAATTCGAATTTAGAAAAACTGTGGAAATTCCAGTAGCATACTTCGGATAATCGGCGAATCACTCCGAATCACTCACATAATAACATGCTTTAAAACGTGTATGAATTCGTATATAATGGGGGGATGAGTATAAATAAGCCGTAGAGCGAAATGAGCCGAGAAAAATAAACAGGGCCGATTTTTTGTGGAAATTGTGTTAGGCATAGTAGGAAGAACATTATTCCGATATAAAAGTACATCATATCTAAACCATTTTTTGACAATTTTCTTGTAAGACCAAATCAACTTCATCAGTATGAAGGAAACAATATGTATAAATTCATCATCTTTCCATCGATAATCATGATCATCTGGTTCGTAGCCATATATGTCGGCGCTTCGCCATCACCTGACAAAGCAGACTACATAAGGTATTAATAATTCGCATGATGTTTAAATTATTTGTAATTCATTTTGGACATTCCCTTCAAACACAATTCGAAGTTGACGCTGACAATATTTACTATATCTGTTTCTTGTATTATGTAGGAGTCTTGCGTTGGTTTCACAAAAAAAATTGTCTGGATTTCAGTATTACAATCGATATGATATATTTATTGTGAGTTGGATGGATTTCATTGGATGCTCAACAATTTGTGCCGAAATGGTAGGTGACGTTGATTAAAGGCGCATGAGCCTATTTGATATAGGCACTGTGCAACTCTCTCATTATTTTCTGCGGAATAAAAATCTATCGTCGAAGTATGCAGGCGACCGAGCTCAGCGCAAAAACCAAAGACCTCAACAGTCAGCTTTTCAAAGTTCTCCTCATTCAAACCATATTCCCATTGATTCTGATGTTCATCCCTGTCGCCCTGTTCTGCATCTTGCCCATATTTCAAATCGAGGTCGGCTCTTTCGCAAATGCTCCCGGATTCACTGTCTCCGTCTATCCCGGCGTCGACGCGCTTGTTGCCATTTTGATGATTCGCGATTTTCGGCATGCTTTATTCTGTAATTCCGTTGAAAATGGCCAAGATTTGAGCAATTGTCAAAATTGTAGGCAAACAACGAAACTCGAAGACCATTGCAACGACAACCGCGACGCGCACTTCCAATTAATTAAATGTGCTATAGACATTTTATATGTATAATACATACATAGATATTACGGGAATGCGTTTTTTTGAAATGGTCCCGCAAGGACTAACCGGTTATTTTGCATTTTATGGACCGGTTCGTTAATTTCTAATCGAATGAGGTTCTCTCATCAAGAAAAATGAAGCAGTTCACGTGACAACAGCAAAATAAGCGTTCAAACGTGGCGAGACCTTTTCAAGGCGCATGCGCGTAAATCTACCCGCGTACATCAGTCACCGGACGCCGACTATATTTGAAAATGAAAAAAGCGGATTTGCGCAATTTCAAAAATTGATGTTTTCAATTAATGGAGGCCACATCAAGATAGCTTTGAAATTTAACAAAATCTAATATTTAATATTTAAATACATATGTATATTTATTTTATAAGTTAAGAGAGACATTTTCAAATTTGCTTTGGAAACATGTCGCATCAAAATGTGATGATGAAAGTATTAAGAATCCGATTTGATATAATAAAAGCTGTTAAAAAAAATCCACAAAAACAATCTAGACGTTTGAATACGGAAGTCTGTTAATTGTATTTGATTAAGCTTCAAAATTGTGATTTAATGTGCCGAATGAGAATCCTAGGCCCTGCCGAAGTCGGGCCGAAACGACAAGCCTGATTCTTACCAAATATTGTCATAGTTCTTAAAAACAAAATTGTTATTATTTGAAAAGGGTAAACCAATTAATCAAATCGAAGTCCAAATTTTATTGAACGAGGCAAATTAAATAATTGTATTTTTCTTTTATTTAAACGAATTCCTTCATGATTTTGTTAGGCAGATCGGAGAAATCGAAGTGTTGCCGAAGGTCGCTTCAGATTCTGGTGTTCGAATCGATCAATCAAGGGCAATTTGAGCAATAAACTATTGATTCGTATTTGAATTTGATGTCTTTCCTCAAATTTTTAAATTATCTCACTACTAAGGTAAATGGGCGGAAAATTGATCAAGAAAAGTATAGTCGGGTTTCTGAAACAAAAATCGGCGAATCGCCACAAGACCGTGCTCATTTTACGCATTGTGCGAAAACTTTTGGATACTGTATTTAAATGAACGAATTTTTATCACATCATCTTTTTATATTTCTTTAAAGTAGCAAAGAAGCGTGGCAAGATATATTTCTGTCTGAAATTAAATATCAATTGTACTCTTTCAATTATTGCTGTTTTCGTTGTACTTCGTCAATCTTGCCAATTATCAATTGAAAATTGGCCACGCCCAACTCAATATACTACCATATATAGGTTGGCTTGTTTGCATAAGTTGGCTCGTTTGAAAGGGCACAACAATCATTTGACTATTTTCGAAAATACTCCATTCAAAACGAATAAGCTAAATACACCCAAATACACGTCAAATAACTGATTAGCTGCACATTCAGAAAAAAATCGACAAATATTCGAAATATTTCCATTTTCGTATTTGGACAACAAAAAATGGTGAAGACGCTTCACGCTGTGCAATATTTCGCATTTCTGGTCAGCCAAATCTCAAACTGGACTCTATTGTATTTGATTGTGAAAAAGTCGTCATCAAGAATCGGATCATATAAGAATTTGATGCTCGCATTTTCAATCTACTCCATTGCATATTCCTTATTAGAAGTGATGGTGCAACCGGTAATGTTTCGAGAGAAAGGAAACCAATATAAATATTCCAACCAGGTTATTCATAATACTAAATCCAGCAGCACATTAATGATTGGCGATTTACTGAATGTCAGCCAGATATTCGGAAGTCTTCTTATAGGTATGTTTTGTCATTGTAGATGCTCGTCGATAGCCAAATACTACCTACAGTAATTCGCCTAATTTAAAGATATGTATATATGTACATACATTAACCATTTTGAGATGAACCTGATCTCAAATTCTGAACGTTTCTCGATATTCGCAACAAAACTCAATTACAGATTACGGTAGATTGATATTCTTCAAATTTCAGTCTTTTATTGTGCATCATTTGCTCTTTGCATTTCACTTCTTTCGAGCCATTTCGTTTTTCGCTACATCGCAATTTGCAAGTAAGCTTCTCCCAATATTTTTAGCTGCAAAATGCCTTCAGAAGCAATTATCTGCACCACATTTCGGGCTTCAATCTGTACAAAATGTTTCTCGCATCTATCACTGTTTTCATAATATGGTTTTCGAATATTTACGCCAGCTTCTGGCCTTCTGAAATCAAATCAGCCTATTTATAGTAAAGAGCATAAAACGCAAACAAATAAAAAATAATTATTACAGCAATGAGTTAATGGAATATTATAATGTGGATAGCTACCAAATCGGGCATATCTGTGAGCTATACTTTGTAAGCACACATTTACCCAAATATGGTTTGTTGAAAATCGCGGAATTGTTTGCAGTACTATACGAAGGAAGGCGAGCTTGTCATCAGTTGGATGGACTATTTCGGGGGAATATTCGCGATTTTAATTATTGTGAGAAATCGCGCAAAAAATAACATTAAAAAAGTATGTATATTGTTTTCAGAGCATTTGCGTTATTGTAATCCTAATCTGCGGTTTTAAAACCTATTCGAAAATGCAGAGCTATACAGAAAAGAGCAAAAAAACAAAGGATTTGAATAATCAATTATTTCGGGCTTTGATATTACAGGTTGGTGCTCCTTTAAACGTGATCAGCCGTGTGGCGAGCGGATCATTAAGTTTATAAGGTTTGGTATTTTTAAAATGAAAAAAAAATAGACGCTAATTTTGTATAGCTTTAATTTTCAGAAAATCAAAATATTAATTTTTTTTTTTATTTTCATTTCATTGAACTTTTTATTTTCATTTCATTGAACTCACAAATTATTTAAAGACAATTGTGCCGGCTCTGATGATGTTCCCCCCCGTGGGTGCCGTCATTTTTCATTAACAGTTTCTTTTTTTTCCGCCTTATGACATCAATTAGGCTGTCACATAGATATTTAAAGGTGTCGTTCATTATTATACAGTGCGTTTCACATTTATAAAGCCACCCCTGTTTTTGGGTGTAACTTTGTCAATTGTGAAAATTTTTAAATTCTGTTTTCAAAATTGAATTCAGGGCTTAAAAATACATATGTGTGCAAATTTTCATAATGATATCTGAAAAATTGGCCGAGTGGCATTGAAAATATTGAAAATTGGTCACTTGCAACCGTTTCACATTTATAAAGCCACCCCCGTGAACGCAGTAAAAGCTTTATTATAAAACCAGATTAATATTTAGTTGCGGCACCATTTGAAGAAATAACGTCGTAAATACGATTTGGCATCGATTGGACCAGGTTTTCCACATATTGGGTGGTCTTGGTTTTAAATTCCTGCTCCAATAGATCCCACTCGTTGGTAATCGCCGCTTTCAATTCATCAACGGATCGATATTGTTTTCCATGACGATAAACGCGGCGAACCAGCTCTCCCCAAATATTCTCCATCGGATTTAAGTCTGGTGAGCACGCTGGCCACTCCAAAACGTCGATTTTTTCTTTGCTGAGCCAATCCAAAGTCGATCGACTCACATGAATTGCGGCATTGTCCTGTTGTAGTACGAACTTTCATCGCCGAAATCGTCGTCGAAATGGCAATAGGTGGTCCTTTAACACTTGTTGATAGTCCAGCGAGTTCATTCGACAATTGACAAACGCCAACTTGAGAAATCCTGTCGAAGCGAATGCTCCCCAGACCATGAGACTCCCGCCACCAAAGTTCCGCTTTGAAAAAATTAGGTTCTCCTTCCGTAAATCGTGCCAATAACATTTATTTCCATCGGGACCATCTAGGTTGAACTTTTTCTCATCCGAGAAAATTATCTAATGAAAATCGCATTGTTTTTTAACGAAAAATTAGGCTTAAAAGTTACTTTTGTCCAATCAGTGGCCATGTTGTTTCGAGCAAATGCGAGACGGCGCAACTTGTGATGGTCCTGGAGGCTCGGAGATGGACGCATAACTGCCCGGATGATGTTGGGATCATCTTTCAGTGCCTTCCAAATCGTCGTCTTACTAACATCAAGATTCAGCTCATTTTTGATGTCGTTACATGACTTCATAGTGTTGGATGCGACTCGGATGATCGATCTTCGGTCACGGGAGTTGAGTTTCGCCTTCGATCCGCGTTTTTTTGGGGGATGATTGTTGCCGATCTTGTTGACAAAATTATCAACGCAAGCTTTCGACCGCTTCAGATACGAAGAAATTCTTCGGTTCGACCACCCAGCGATTTTTAAGGAATCGATGGTAGCTTTTTCGGCATCGTTTAGTAAAGATCCTCGTGGCATGATCAAATTTATTTAGAAATGAACGTAAAATAAATTAAAACATCGTACAATACTCTATTTAAAGGTACACTGCTAATTCTCGTTCAGGTCTCCACAATTTCAGACCTTTCACGGGGGTGGCTTTATAAATGTGAAACGGTTGCAAGTGACCAATTTTCAATATTTTCATTGCCACTCGGACAATTTTTCAGATATCATTATGAAAATTTGCACACATATGTATTTTTAAGCCCTGAATTCAATTTTGAAAACAGAATTTAAAAATTTTCACAATTGACAAAGTTACACCCAAAAACAGGGGTGGCTTTATAAATGTGAAACGCACTGTATTAATTTTTTTTTTCAATTTATTTTCATTTCATTGAACTCACAAATTATTTCCAGACAATTGTGCCGGCTCTGATGATGTTCGCCCCCGTGGGTGCCGTCATTTTTCTACCAATGAGCGGTATCAATTTAGGCACAATGGCGAATTTCGCGAGTCTCACCGCTGGCTTTTATCCCGCTTTTGACGCGATAATTGTCATTTGTGTAATAAAAGACTATCGCCAAACGATTTTGGGTGGGTTTGAGGTATCCGATTGATATCAAATTGTTCTTCAGGTGGCAATAAGGCCCGAGTATCATCTACAATGCAATCATCGTATTCGAATATTTAACAATTTACGAAACTGCAGACCCAACTACACCTTCCATTATTAGTGTTATCATCATTGTGTACTGAATTGTCTATCCTCACGTTGATCTGTTTTAATGAACTTTTACCTAATAAATCCAAATAATACATTATTTATTCTCTCTCTCTCATGCCAATTTCAAAAATTAAATTGATTGTTATCGTAATAGATTATACGATGTTCTCCAATATACAGGGTGTCATTTAAGTTCCCGCACAACTTTGAAGACGTATATTTCTGAAACTAAAGGTCCAAATCAAACGAGACTCGAAATATTTTTTATCTATAGTATAACAAATATTTATCTATTAACTCTTTTCGATTCGGCCTCCTTTCGGAGCTATGACTTCACAGAGACGCTTCGGGTAGGATGCGACTGTGGTACGCAGGTATTCGATGGAAAGATTGTGCCATTCCGCCAGTAATGTCTTCTTCAGAGTCTCTACACTTGAGTGGGGTTTTGCGTTGACCTTCTCCTGCAAGACTCCCCACACGGAGAAGTCAAGCGGGTTCAGGTCTGGGGACCAATCAGGCCATTCGGATGACTTGATGAAGTCGGGAAAATGGGTCTGGCACCACTCCTGAGTAGTTTTGGCAGTGTGGGCGGGTGCTCCGTCCTGTTGAAAGACCCATTTCTGCCCAACGAAATGCGTTTGGGTCCAGGGCATCACATGCTCCTCTAAAAAGTCCCGAACGTAGACTTCTTTGTTCATTTTCATCCCCTGATCTGCAAAAACCAGGGGCGCTTCCCGGTTGAGCAGATGGCACCGAAAACCATCATACTGGCAGGATGTGAGGCTCGATGTATTGTTCTGCTTTTCTCAGAAGCTTGCTGGGATGTCTGGGCAAGTACTCGATGGTTTTGTGAGTTGAATGCCGCCTCCACAGTGAATAGCTTCTCGTCGGAGAAGACAGTGACGAGATGTTCTCCAGACTGCGTGCGAGCAAGAAGTTGTTTTGCTTTTTCGAAGCGTCTCTGCTTGTTGACGGCCGATAGAATTGCCGCTTTTTGGACACGATATGGGGTCAGTCCAAGCTTCGTTTTGACGATTTGTTCCATAGCGAAGATGCTCATTCCCATGTCTGACGCCATCTTTCTCATGCTCCTGTGTGGGTTTCGCCTGATCCTCGATTTAACGGCGTTGATCTTCTGAGGAGTGGTTACTGAGACGAGTCTTCCTTGTCTGGGACGGTGACTGGTCGTATTTAGCTCCTTGAAACGTTTGATGGTGTCGCAAACCGTTCTACGAGGCACAGCGAGGCGTTCAATGATGTCTCTCGGGCTCACATTTTGCTTATGAACTTCGATAATGGAAGCGCGATGGATGTTAGCCTTCGCCATTTCTCGGAAACACATCCGAAAGAGGTGAAACTTGGAAAGTAAGTAAAATATACCTTATTTAACAAAAATAAATTGTATTGGTGCACGAAAAGTGCGCCAGCCAAGCTCTTCATGGCGTCAAACTTTTGTGCGGGAACTTAAATGACACCCTGTATATAGAAATTGATGCTTTCATATTGTTGGGTTTTACTAGTTTATTCTGTTATTAAAATATTGGCCCTTTCAGTATGATTAAAAAATTGCAGTTATAAAAAAACGAAATTATGGAAAATGAGCACATCGACTTAAAATCGAGTTTCGCAAGTTGTTACATATTCGAATTCGATGACGGAATTGTAGTCGATACTCGTGCCTTATTGCCACCTGAAGAACAATTTGATATCAATCGGATACCTCAAACCCACCCAAAATCGTTTGGCGATAGTCTTTTATTACACAAATGACAATTATCGCATCAAGAGCTGGATAGAAGCCGATGGTGAGAGTCGCAAGATTCGCGTTTTTGCCAACATTGACACCGCTCATTGGTAGAGAAATGACGGCACCCACTGGGGCGAACATCATTATAGCTGGCACAATTGTCTAGAATTAATTTGTGAGTTCAATGAAATGAAAATAAAAAGTTCAATGAAATGAAAATAAAAAAAATTGTATTTTGATTTCCTGAAAATAGATTAAATATCATAAATAAGGGCAATTTGAACAGGGATGCTCATACGAAATCAGCGTCGATTTTTTTTTCATTTCATCAATAACAAACTTTATAAACTTAATGATCCGCTCGCCACACGGCTGATCACGTTTAAAGGAGCACCAACCTGTAATATCAAAGCCCGAAATAATTGATTATTCAAATCCTTTGTTTTTTTGCTCTTTTCTGTATAGCTCTGCATTTTCGAATAGGTTTTAAAACCGCAGATTAGGATTACAATAACGCAAATGCTCTGAAAACAATATACATACTTTTGTAATGTTATTTTTTGCGCGATTTCTCACAATAATTAAAATCGCGAATATTCCCCCGAAATAGTCCATCCAACTGATGACAAGCTCGCCTTCCTTCGTATAGTACTGCAAACAATTCCGCGATTTTCAACAAACCATATTTGGGTAAATGTGTGCTTACAAAGTATAGCTCACAGATATGCCCGATTTGGTAGCTATCCACATTATAATGTTCCATTAACTCATTGCTATAATAATTATTTTTTATTTTTTGCTTAACATTTTCGCTTCCTACTACAAATAGGCTGATTTGATTTCAGACGGCCAGAAGCTGATGTAAATAACCGAAAACCATGTAATGAACAAAATTAGCGGTGGGAGAAATATTTTGTACAGATTGAAGCCCGAAATGTGGTGCAGATAATTGCTTCTGAAGGCATTTTGCAGCTAAAAATATTGGGAGAAGCTTACTTGCAAATTGCGATGTAGCGAAAAACGAAATGGCTCGAAAGAAGTGAAATGCAAAGAGCAAATTACGCACCACCACAGACTGAAATTCGAAGTCTATCAACCTACGGTAACCTGGATTTGGGTCGTATAGCGAATATCGAGAAACTTGTAGAGCGGATTTGTGTCTCGACGAGCATCCACAATGAAAAAACTTACTTATTAGATGACTTCCGATTGTCTGACTGACATTCAGCAAATCTCCAATCATTAATGTGCTGCTGGATTTAGTATTATGAAAAATCTGGTTAGAAAATTTATATTGGTTTCCTTTCTCTCGAAACATTACCGGTTGCACCATCACTTCTAATAAGGAATATGCAATGGAGTAGATTGAAAATGCGAGCATCAAATTCTTATATGATCCGATTCTTGATGACGACTTTTTCACAATCAAATACAATAGAGTCCAGTTTGAGATTTGGCTGACCAGAAATGCGAAATATTGCACAGCGTGAAGCGTCTTCACCATTTTGTTGTCCAAATGCGTAAATGATAATATTTCGTGCGGAATTCCAGGCGAATAGAGTTGGGCGTGGCCAATTTTGAATTGATAATTGGCAAGATTGACGAAGTACAACGAAAACAGCAAAAATTGAAAGAGTACAATTGATATTTAATTTCAGACAGAAATTTATCGTTCCACGCTTCTTTGCTACTTTAAAGAAATATAAAAAGATGATGTGATAAGCAAGAAGGGAGGGAGGAGGCAAGAATAGCATCCTGGCAGATTGATGAAGGTAGCTTGGCAGATCGCATTGTCTTAAACAGCTCGGATACGGTGGTGGTCGGCGATGAGCTGCAAAGTGATCACACCCGAACTGATCATTTGGTTCTGGATTATTTGGACGTCGGTCTGTCAAAAAATCTCTCCTTTCGGAGAAGAAACGCCGCGCCCGGTTGAAGTGGACTAAGGAGCTTTTGAATTGGACTTTTCAACAATAGTCAAAGCTTGTATGGAGTGATGAATCGAAGTATATCTTGCTCGGAACTGATTCTGAAAAGATGTTTTACTGCTTCTGGAGCAGGCCCACTTCGTCGAATCGAAAGAAATATGGATCAATTAATGTATAAAGACATTTTCGAGAACCATATGCTTCCGTTTGCAAAGTCTTTGCTCGGCGTGGATACTTATTTCAACATAATAATGATCCTAAACGTAGTTCTCGCTTCATCAAATGAGCGGTTCTAGAAGCGTAGGATGGCCGTCATGGACTAACCAAGCCACTCACCTGACTTGAACCGCATTGAACATTTATAGGAAGATCTTGGTAGACGCCTTGGTGGTCAAACTGTACAAAATTGTGTCGAAATGCTCGAGCAGCTGAGGAGAGCATGGATGGATATAACAGTTTCAACCCTCCCGAAGTTGACGAGGCCATGGGTCTCCGATATCAAACTGTGATCGATGCAAATGACATGTCAACAAGATATTGAGTTGTTTAAAGTTTCCAGACAGATAATTGTTGCTTTCCATTTCATTTCAAGTCGTACCGATATCAAAATTATTTAAGTCGGTTTTTCGCTATAATGGAATTTCGGATTTTTTGTTAATAAAATTTTTCCTAGTGTGTTTTACACCTTCTAATTTCGTTATTTAATCACTCTATCAATACTTAAGATTGCCCAAAAATTTCAGATCGATTGTTCAACTTTTAGGAAAATTATGATCAAAAAAGAGAGATTGTATATCTTACTGCACGGTACTGTATGTACATATTGTAGGTTATTTTTCATACTGAACACGATTTTCACACTGGTTGGTCTCAAAAAATCGAAATAATTTCAATTTCTGATGCATTTGATATCATTTTAATTAGGAACTTAAACTATGAAAAATGGTGAAAATTTTAAAAAGATAAACATTAATAAATAAATGCGACCGCACGCGAGCCGCAACGCGTTTGAACAATAATATTTTTTTTTTTTGAAAAAAAAATGCTTGTAGCGGCTTTTATTTGGGCATCCCAATACATTTATTACATTTGTAGTTATATAAAGCAAAAAATCAAAAATTAAGCATTCTGATATCTAAATAAAATTTTTAGAATGTTAAAGGATTTAACTTTTAAATACTAATGGCCATTCAACTACTAACCATTTTTATTAACTATTAGCTATTATTTATTAACTATTAATCATTATTCAACTATTAACCATAACCAGAAACACAGACACTGGTGGATTCCTTCGGTCGATGGCAATCGGAGGAAGCGACGATTCAGACATAAGACGGACGAGTCGAGCACCAATTTTATGACATAATATTGTTTTTCAACTAGTATATTTTCAAATATGACTAGTCAATTATGACTATTTGGGGTTATTCTGTTCCAACCTGTACCTGTATGTTGTTTTCTTTACAATAGATTAAAAGACCACGAGACAGGATTTTAGAGGATTGTAATTTGAAAGAATGAACTGCTCATTTTGCCCCCCTTAAAGACATTTCTCATTTGAAAAAAAAAACGGTAAATCCCGTCAAAAAACTCCTCCAAATCCCATATGCAGATTGCGCAATAGACTAGTCCATTTAGCTTTTCGAGATTTTCTCCCTAAAATTTGCAAAGAACGATAGTGTTACAGAAAATAATCGAAAAGCGCCAAATTCGACAATCTTGTGCACCGTTTCTTCACATTTTCCTTTCTTTTCATAATAATTACGAATTATAATTCTGAGAAATTCTCATCGTTGAGTCGACGAGCGTAATTGTGGACCATCACACATTTTCCAGGCGGTAATTCAAATTTCCAATTTAAATTGTGGGAGTTCAGGTACCGTATTCTGGATATCCTGTGAAGTGAACTCACAATAAGTCAGCCCAGGGGTGCTCGTTTTTTTTTTTTACAAACATTTCAATTTATTTTGGTAAATCACAAAAATCTGCAAAAACAAAACAAAATTGAAGGAAAAAAAAAGTAAAAGAAAAACGACGCTAGAAAAGCACTCAAAAAGCCAAAAGCAAAAATGATAGCATTTTCTCGGAACGCCGAAATTCGTAATTTTTATTCTTGCTCTTCTGCTTGTGATTTCGAGAAATTCGCTGCTGGAACGAAAATCAATATTCACAACACAAATTTAGGTGTTGGTTGTTTTAAAAGCAAAACAAATCGACAGAAAGTGTTCCATTTCGTGCCAGGACCTCCAAAAGCCAAAAATGAGGCTTTTTGTACGTCGGCTGCGGACAATTTCACGTGCACGTTTACGTCATTGTGTTTCCAAAAAAACTGCGAAAATTCAATCAAATCGAATTGCCCTCATCTTGAAAAGTATGTCATAAACAAAAAATTCAATTTGAATGTTCTTCATATGATATTCTTTTCAGATTTTTCTCGGCATTCTTCGGATTACGGTAGTGCCTTTTTTTAATCAAAAAAAAAACGCTTTTAGTAGTTTGGAATTTTTCACGCAAAACTCGACCGATTCGCATCGAGACCTTAAAAAAGAGTAGTGTGCCTTTAAACAGTGTTCACAAGAAAAAAATGCGCTTCATCGTGACAATTGATTTCGATATTAATCTGGTGAAGCAAATAAATCGTTTCGCCCAATTCAATTCCATTAAGGAATGAGGACAAGACGAGTCGAGACTATTAATGGTTGATCAGCTGTAGGCGGGAAAAACCGAATAACTTGATAATCAGCGAAGACGCTGCGCGTCTTTCTCTCTCCCTCGTTCTCTAGTTCTCGTCGTTTTTTTTTTTGAGGTGATTGTCATTTTGGTTGTCGCGTCTGTTTGTTTCGCCGTTTCATCTCTGCGCCCTCCGAAGGGCGTGATCATAGCGCAAGAAGGTGGAAGTAGCAGCAATCTGGCAACTCTCCACTCTCGTCTCTGTCGCGCAAAACTCGGGTCCTGTAAAATAGTGGGTGGCAATGTCGCAACTATTATTGGCGGTATTGATCGCCGTCGTCGGAATCGTTCAATCATCGGTAAGAATTTTCAAAAACCGAAACACGGACAGAACCAATCCGCTTGTTGTCAGGTAAAATGCCCAAAAGGAACGTTCGGAACTGAACTCGAATGCGCGTTTGAATGCTGCACATCGTTCGAGGGACCCAATCAAGTGAGTCGCCTCATTCTTCCTCTGATCACTCTTGGAACCTCAGGGCTATTACTGTTGTGGTGTCGAGGAGAAGAACCTGATAGATCGCGGGGCTGATGGCGGAGCGAGAGCTGAGCGATTCGTCGCCTACGGCAACACCTTCCAGTAATTGCTTCCGACGAGCCGTCATGATCTGATGAACTTCGATTCAGGGTCGATTACACGATGCTCATCATCGGCCTGATCGTCTCGATCGTCTTGTCGATTCTCCTCTCATTCTTCTGCTGCCTTCTCTGCAACGGCTGTTGGCTTCATCGTCGTCGCAATCCGCAACAATACGAGACGGTGCATGACAATGGATGGTATCCAATATGCTGTAAGTTTGAGCAATAAGAGTTTTCTCGTTTATTGACACTAGTCGCTCGCGCGCTCTCGCCGCAGCTTAGCACTTCTCAGTAAAGCAACTTGTGATGATGAAATTCATGATCGAGAGAGAGAGAGAAAGAGATGGAAAAAAATGCATCGAAAAGTGAAAACATTTGGGCGTTGGCCATTTCCCGCCGACGCGTTCGCCCCGATGACCAAATCAGAAATCGATATTCATTTAGGCGGCTTCGGCATCCCAATGGGAACCGTCGTCTTCTCGACACACCCGCCGCAGTATCGCGACGACAGCGAAATGTACGGTTCGTCGATGTCGAGTCTGCCATCGTCGAAGCAAAGGTGAGAAATGCTTAGATGTATTACCATCGTAATTTTTTCGAGGCGGTAATTCAATTTTGAATTTCAATATTTGGGTACCACAGTCTAAATAACCTGCTAATCCAACTGACCGTAAATAGACGTAGGGTTCTCGTTTTTTTTTTGCGAATGTAATATGTCAAAATAAATAAGACAATGGTCACGCTTTTATTGACTATTCGGATTCTATTTATTATTGATCATTCTTCACGTGGTGATCAGCCGACGTTGAAGTGAATTTTTCAAATAACCAATTTTCCAATTATTTCACATCCTCTCGAATTTCTTTTTTCTTTCAAATTACCAATATGCGCCTTTAAACAGATTCGCCTCCCCCAAAAAATTTCAGCCCAATGCTGATGTTTTCGTTTTCCCTTTTCCAAAAACAAACAATGCGTTCGTCCTATTACTCATAAAGTTCTCCTTTGGAATTCTATTTTTGATGTTTTAATCAAAAAATTGTGTGTTTTTTTTTTGCCATTCTCAAAAAAGAATTTATTTTGATCTCATCTTCGCAGCTGGATTCTCAATTTAATGGAGATCGTGTGGTTTTGCTAGACAACCCGAAAATGCATTTTGTTTTGTTGAAGAAAATTGTCGAGAAAAAATGGGAAATTGTCAGATACCGATCGAATTTTTCCCGAGACATCATCGATAATTGTTGCTATGGCTTTATTTGGGAATTCTCGGGAAATTCTCTCCCGAAAGCGCACACTGTTGATACAAATTTGCGCGGGCCTGCGCCTTTAAATTGGGTCTCGGATGTTCAAAGGCGTAGGTGGTCTCTCACCGAAATTGCCTTTGAATATGGTTTGACAATTTAAAGGTGCATTCCATTGAAATCAAATTAAAATCGGAGACTAGTTTTGTCGAAAACAAATTTAATGTTAGTGTTTCCACAAAAATATATCATTTAATTATTGTAAAAGTTCGACTGTGCCTATAAAATTGGTCTCGCCGCGAACGGGTGATTTGAAAGAAATAAAAATTGCGAATTGCAGAGTTCGATTCAATCCCGACGGCACACCGCGAGGCGTTCTGAAAAACGGACACGAGGGTCAAGCCGGCTACTATCGAGATTAAAATTGAAACAAAATTGTCGACGACTCTAAAAAAAAACACAAACACCAAAAAAAAAAGAAGAAGACGACGAAGTCAACAATTTTATTATTCCTCAATTGTAAAATATACATAATTTGAGCATATTCGATGGGCACAAAAAATACAAAAAAAAGCGACACAAAAAAATCAATAAAAATTTGATTCGATTGGACGAGCTAAACAACCAAAAATAAATGAAGAAATCGGCGACCCGGGGTTTGGAAAAAATGAGACAGCGAATTGCGATGATTATCATAATTACGTGGAATATCACCAGTGCGTTTTTGTTTAATTATTTATTTGTTTGAGTTACTTTTTCTCATTGACTAGGAGCATCACAGGTGCTGTAGAACGAACCAGGTAAGCGTGAACAGTGCTGTTGACAGCGGGAATCTCGGCGAATGATTGCCGTTGCAGTGGTCGGCGTAGCACGTGCACACGTCGATTGTCGCGTCGTCCATCGTGTCGTCGGCGAGTTTGAAAAGCTCGCGTTTTCTGAAGACTTTTCTTGATTCAAGATTAGCGTGGGCAACGTTGACGCGGGGAGGTCAAATTTTTGTGCTGCGGACAATTTTCACGGTTTGTTTTCGATGGTTCCCTATTTTGAAACGTAGTTTTTTTATACAAAAAAAATGTAAAAATAAATGAGATGCGATTTCAAAGATATTTCGAAAAAAACTGGCGCTGGCGAGATATTTCAACGTTTTTTTCCCGAAATTTGAATAGTTGCGAATGAATTCGTTTTATTACACTTTTCAATTTCGAGCTATACACAATAGTTTCGTTTCAGCAGGATTATTCACCGATTTAAAAAAAATACAATTTTTGACGATTTTGATCTACCAAAAATGTGGAAGCTGGGTTTTTAACGTTAGCAACAAAAATGATCTGCGGACATTTTCCAGCAAAACTTCTGGTGGCCACAACAATTCAAACAAGAACCCTAAGGGGGGTTGCAGCTTTTCGTTTACAATCCTTGCTCAACTTGATCTTCTGATTTTTTTTTAATTAACTAGCTCGAAAATGCAATGAAATGTCAAAAACTCCACCTGCCGACATTTTTTTTTTCAAATCAATTGCTTTGATTATTTGGTGTTGGATTTCTAGACTTGTTGCTGCCCCTCATCATTGGTCTCTTTGAACAATTCATTTTTGAGATATTTTGATTTTCTATCTGCGGACATTTCAACGATATGTAGAATCTGGCAATGTCGAGAAAATTAAAAATGAAAAAAAAACGGTAATTTTTTTGCTTTGTTTGGAATTGAAATTTTGCTTACTTTTATTATTTTACAATAAATTATTGCAAATAAAAATTTTTGGAATTGAATTGGAATATCTCAAGCTCAAAAAAGGTAGAGCTCAAATAATATTCAAGATGGCATATATACCTACATTAAAGAATTTAATTGTTTTTAACTCTAAAATTCCAGCTGCAGACGATTTGAGGGGAAACCATTGAACGTCTCAATTCCAATTTGCGGTCATTTATTTCTATTTTAGCGTTTTTCTGATATATTTTGAAGTGGAATTGTAAGGCAAGACACTCAGAAATTGGGTAAACATCGATCAAAACTATTTCAAAATTTCATGCTGCGGACAAATATTTTTTGTCGATTTGAAAACATGTGGGATCGTGCGTCCAGATGCTCCCCTTCCCTACCTATAGGCCCGACACGAATCGCGGTGCATCCATCGATACCAAGTGACAATCGTCTGATTGAAGCCATTGATGAGCACATCGCTCATGCATCCCCGAATGAAGCCTTTGATTCGGACGCCGGCGATGTTCGGCTGCTCGAACAATGAGACGCATATCGTTGGACAATGGACAATCGGCACGCGTCCCTCGGCGATTCGATCATCATTACAATCATCTGCGAATCATCATAACGATGATAATCTTGAATCGAAACAGGCATACCAGTGAAGTTCCTCGGTCGCTTGTAGATGTCGGAGAGTGACGGCCAGACCGCCTCGTAGAGTTTCGACATGCACGAATAGCAGCGCGCCGTGTCTGAAACAATCAATTCCATGAATTTGTCGGGCAGCACGATTCTAATGAATTGCCCCCCCCCGGCTCCCTCCTACCGCTTGTGAGAAACGGTCCGGCGACGGGTTTCGACGACGACGTCGCCGCCGCCGCCGCCGCGATCACCAGCGCAACACTCAGCAGCAATAGAATCGCCCTCATCGACCGCCGTCGTCGTCGTCATCGGATCATCGAGAACGCGCGTCGAATAATAATAATGCTATGAGCAACAATATGTATAAGTGGTTTGAAAAAAGAAAAGAAATGGCAGCACAAGAAATACGAATAATAAATATTGGCTGGTGAAATCACATTAAATGAAGGCCGGAGACGCCCTTGGAGACCAAAAGTAAAAAGAAATGAGGCGATTAATGGATGGCACAATTTCCCACGTGGATTGCGACGAATCGCCGCCTCGGGGGGCCGGTTTCCACGTGGATTATTCGAAGCAGCAAAACGACGGCAACCAACTTCATCATCATAATCATACATAGGTGTGAAAATTGTTTATCGTTGGCGTTTTCTTTTTTTTTGACGCGTCTTCTTCAAGACAGCTGCCAGTCAAAAATTTCGCTCGGCAATGTGATAAATCGTGCATCGACGGCTCCTCCCCGCCGGCGCGAATGATGCACCCCACCGATTTATTTATTGATTCTCGATGCGGTGATTCGATTAAATTCCTCCCCCACTTCCCTTCCCTCGATTCCTCGCCGCATCATCATCATTAGGTGCCACATTTCGTAAAATTATTGCGACGAGTCGCATTTTTTTTCCTCTGGGCGAGATGAGCATTTGATTGAACGAATAAAAAATCTAGCCGGAATAATAATTGTTGGTGGTTGGCACGAATTCGACAATTAGGTACCGTATCGCGAAATTCAGCGAACAGGGTCTTGAGGCGAAGAGGTGTTCAACAGAACATCTTAGATTGGGTCTTGTCGCGATATGATTTGAACCCAATGTATACAGTAATGATTTGGTCTCGAGTTCGGCACAAATTGGCAATGCGCCTTTAAATCTGGCCTCGTTACGAAAAATCGCATAAATGAAAAGTGTTTGAGAGTCCCAAATAAAAATTCGTGAGAAATAAGGTCTCACAACGAACTGGACGCTAAACTAACTTTAAAAAATTTAAAAATATATACGATAAGAGAATAAATATGATATAATAGTATTAGAAACCAATAGCGACGAAAAAAAAACGCATTTCGATCGAAAAAGCTCAAAAATCTTCATATTTATTTTCAACAATGTTTGTGTCAAAATATTCCGAAATCGCTTGGCCACAAATGGAAACAAATGCGAAATGCTTCGATATTAGCGCCTCAATTTCCGTTTGTGTCAATTTCTATAATAAATGACAACGTGTGCACTTCAAAATCAACAGCAAGTGAAAGAATCTCGAGGAAATTGAGAGTGAATGAAGCAAAAGATTTAGGAAGTCGACAGAAACAAATAAAATGGCCCATTCAATTACGACGAGTTTTGAAATTTAGAGGACGACACTTTTTTTCTGATTTGTTTATTTTTGAAAGTTGCATAAATTGGAAATTATTATGCCGGATGGGAAGCGGAAACGCGCTGGATTAGTTATTCCTGTTTCGCAAATGTTTTCCTCAATCCAGGTGACGTTGTCGGTCGAAGCATTTTAGACCGCAATTCTTATTGCTTCAACGGATACCCCGAAGAAGCTGGCCAAAAATTATGTTTTCGAACACTTTCTTGCGAAAGGTCGGAACTCCAAATTACCTTGAGTAACTGGGTTAAAACCAAAGCCAATTTCGCAATCTACAGTTCATAGGGAAAACCAGCAGCGGACATTTATCGGGGCCGCTATTTCTGTATGTGTTAGCGTGCAAATTGGCGAGACGCAGAGAAGAGGCGAGAGAGCGGCGAGGATGCAGAGAGGGAAAAGAGGCCAACGGAATGATTTTTGAGGTGGCGATTTGAAGTTGTGCTGATCGTTCGTACCAAATACGGAAATTTAAAGGCACATCCCATATTTGGATGCAATAAAATATGGAAACAAAAACATAACCGAATACTACTAATGGTGGCGATGACGAGGAAGAAGGCGAAAAATTGAATTTGGCGCGAAACCGGCCCAAAATTGGTGCGGATTTCGTTTGACGGTGTAGGAAGGAAAAAAAGGCAAAAATGAATAAAATTTTGGCTGCAAAACCCGTCAACAATCCATAGATGCGGCGCGCGAGCGCAAAAAAATGATATTAAAAATTGCGAGGAGAAATAAGGAGCATTTTGATTTGCACTCGCTCCACAATCCATCTGGCAGACAATGAAAAGGTATGAAGAGCGATTCGAGGGTCTTCCACTTCACATTCTTATTGTATAAATGAAAGTTGGTGGTGGAGGAGAGGAATGAGAGGAACATGCTCAAAATGGGCATTTCGTGCACACACGAAATGGTCGATCCATGTGATACAAGTTTCATTTTCATGATTCCGCGGTCTTGGAGCGATTTCGCCAAATGAGCCTGAATTTTGGGGTTCCAAAGAGGTTTGGCAAAAAATTAGTCATCATTAGATATTTTTCGCAGTATGACCATTTACTTCAATGATTTGTGTTGTGTTTCATCTTGGCCGTGGCCTAAATTCTTTTTGAACTCTCGGTCATCATTAACGGCTAAAGTACCAATTATTATACTAAAATCACAACATGAAAAAAAGAAGAATTTGGAGTAATTATGGACCATCGTATTTTTTGGGGCGGAAATTCGAGTAAAAAAATATTTGTCAATCAAAAAACCATTTTTGAGACTAAGTATCTCGAGGCGAAGAAAAGTGTCCGTAAATCTACACTGATTGAGAGACTTAAGGCCCTGCCCCTATTTCAGCATATTTGATTAGCGAAAAAGGTGTTCGCGACGAGAGTCGAAATGCTAAAACTTCTTAAATTCGAGAAAAACGATGACGAATCACGTCTCCCATGAGTTTGGTGTTCATTTTTGTCTGGGAAAATGGTGTCGATTCACACACAAAAAAGGCACTTCAAGAAATTGGATTCGACGAAAAAAAAATCTATACAAAAAAAAAGAGCGAAAAGAAGATGAAGGAGGCAAAAGAAAAATATTAAAATTTGTTATTTGTGGCGTATCAACAAAAGAAGAAAAAAATAAAGGAGGAACGCGAGTTCTCAGATTTTCTGTTGGTCTCGACATGATTCTTTTTTTTGTGCGCCTTTAAAGATGTCGTCCCAACTCAATGTTGATCGTTTTTTTTGGCGAAAACGTGAAGCAATTTAAAGGATCAAAAAATTCCCCTCCTCGATACTCACTTTTATATGGCGAATTGAAATTGTAGTATTCCTGTTGGGCGGCGTTGGCGTTGTTGGCGGCGAGAATCACGAGGATGCACAAGAGTCGCCGAATCGAGCAACAGCGGCACCAGGTGTTGGAATCGTCACCCAATAACATCTAACCATCAGGAGCCACACTTCTGCAATATAATTCGTTTCGCATTCAGAAATCAAGGAGAATGAGCACACGGGTATTCGATCTGACGATCAATGATCAATTCAAAAAGCGATTATTTTAATAAGAATTACAAAGAGGGATCGAGTGTCTCATTGTTCGCACATGCGCCTTTAACTGTGCCGCATGATCATTTCATTTTTATTTCGAAAAATTAATTTCAATTTTTGAAGATCGCAACGAGACCCAAGCAACGATAATGATTCAATTGAGCTTAAACTTTAAAAAAAATGTTCTAATTTAGTAGTGGTAGATAGAGTTGTTAGTTTATTTTTTTTAATCATGTAAGACTTGTCATGTGGATGGTATTCCAGAAAAATGACGTCAATTTGATGTTTTGTTTCGATAAAAACCGAAATTTTGTCCCGGAAAATTGTCCGCAGATTCATTTTTTAAAGTGAGAATATCACGATGTCTCGATATTTAACTGTATTTTGACAACCGTACTACTGATAACCTGCGAATCAAACTCAGCTACTATTGACAACAAGCGAATCAAACTTAAATCTTGCTAAGAGTGAATTCAGCATTTTTCTAGCTGTCATAATTAGCATAATAAAAAATAAATTTCAGACTTGGTGAGAAGAGTATCAAACAGAACATTAACTCATTTCATTTTATTTTATTGGAGCAATTAAATTGGAGTCCGCGCAATTCGAAATGTTTGAACCATTAAAAATTTTTATGTTTAAAAGATGGAAAAAGAACTTAAATTAAAAATTGCGTATGGCGACATTCGAGGGGCGGAGCGAAAAATTTAAACTGTACAACTTGGTCTCGAATTAGTCTGCGATTTTGCTGCGGACGAATCAAGCATAAACAAAATTACAGTATATGTCAAAGGCGCATGCAAAAATTATTTTCTTTCCACGAAAAACCAAAACTGTATTTTGTTGAAATTTTTTGTCTTTGAAAATTAGAAAAAATTGAAACTGGCGATTTTAACTTTCATTTTCGCTGAATTTTTTTTTTGGAATTTCCCTTACGATTATTTGACATATAGCTGACACCATAAGAAGTTGGAGTTTAGGGGAAGTTTATATAAGGACGCCCATAAAAGGTCAATTCAGCAAGACAAAATGAAAAGAAGAATGAGCAACGCAACTGAGCACAAGTGTTTCTATTTCAGTAGCCGTAAAAAATTGGGTAAGAGAGAGGGAGAGGGGTTTCAAAAAAAAAAGTGCGAAACGTGAAATCGGACATTGTGTTAGGACGACGCGCACGAATTCGATTTGCCTCAAAACATCATCAAAAATTTCTTGACCTTCTCCTTCGTATCATGCAGCAGAAACAATGCGCACGCGAAACGCGCCAATCAGCCGAGTCATGATTGACGTCAAACGCGCGCGTTTTCATGCATGATCTACGCCGGTGAACTTCCGTTCTTGCGGCCAACCAGCATAATGTCGGCAGAACAATTGAATGACACACCACTTCTCGTGTAGCCCGTCTATCATTTATATCATGACAAGAGCTTGGTGGAATGAATGTTGGGAAGGGTTGTGTGTAATACACGCACACAACACACACAAATGTTTTCCCCGCGATTCGCTTGGCCCGAAAGCCGTGGACAAAGTTAATGAAGAGTTTTTTATTTATTTATTTCGCCAACGACGACGACGACGACGAGGATTCATTAAAAGATTTCCAAACTCCCTTGAGGATTTCATTCCATTCTCTTACTGTGGTGCCAATTGAATTTGCTTTGCCGCCTTTTTGTCTTAATGGAGTTTACGGTAGTGAGAGCTCATTAACAGCCGAAACTCTTGGGGATTTCGCGGCGAGTTTTATCTGCTGCCGAAAATTTCAAATTTCGTTGAAATCATTTCGAGTTTAAGATTTTTTTACTCAAAAATTTCAATTTCACACATTTGGAATTCATTGATTAGCCTGTGACATTTATACATAAGAATTTAATTGAAAATCGATGATTTTTGAATATAATGAATTAAAATATTTTCACAAATGCCACTAACGCAAAATTAAAAAAAAGCATCTTAGCTAAATTTTGCGAGAGAGAGAGAGAGAGAGAGAGAATTAAAGTTCAAAAGGTAAGCGCGCTCTATTGCACTTTTTTTTCTCGTCGTCCATTCTAAATAAAATAATTTTATTGTAGGCGTCAAACGACTTAAAAGAGGCGGGGCATTTAATTTCGCAAAATTAGTGTAGATTTAAATTTTTCGTTGACTGAATATTAAATGCGCGTACGCTTAAATACAAGGTACGCAATTTTACGTACTTCTCGCTGACTCGAGACGACGCATTGGCACATTGCCAATATGTTTTTTTTAATTTTCGTCAAGTCATCCGACAATATTTAAATTAAAGAAAGATTTGCAAAATGCTGAATGATATTATCGTAGAAACTCAAGTGCATGTTCTAGCACACCTCAAGGATAGCAAGATACTGTAATTCTCAAAATCGCAAGAAACAAAAACTGCTAGAATTTTAAGAATTAATGAATAGAAGAAAATTCCGAATCGAAGCTGAAACCCATAAATTTCGGAAGTTTTGTGAAACAAAATCGGCGGTGCAAGTTTGTTTTGTCGCCTCGACGTCGAACAACCTAATCAAATCGTCGATGTGGGAATCTCGCGGCTCGCATGCGCTGGTGGCTCGCCGAAAATTAGTTAAATGTCTTCGCCCCCCCCCCACGCATAAGACAACGAATATGAGTTGGACACACACACACATATGGCCGGCTGCCGACAAAAACGGATGAGTGAAAAAGATTTGCATATATTTGGTATGTTGTTGTCTCTTCTCGCCGGGGGTTGTTGGCAGAAATGGAAATCCCTTCGGGGAAAGGTGCTTCTGACCCAACGGCGGCGCCCGCAAACCAACAAATTTATTTGTTGGGCAACGCGAATGAAAAATGAGCAGCCACAAAAGAGTTTTGGGGCGTGTGTGTTGAACAAGATTTTGCGGCACACGAGAGGCACCCGGCTGATGTTGTTGGCCTGCGGTAATTAATGATAAGAACAACTGTGGAGCAAGAGTTTTTTTGTTCTTCTCGATCAAAGCATTTCCGGGGAGAAGTTATGACTTTGCTTTGACCTTGCACCCCTTTAAATTGCAGGTACTGTAGGTTTCGCAAAAAGTACCATGGAGCGCATTTGCAGTCTGCTTTGCGCTTGGTCTTGCCGTGATTAGCCGACTTGCTCTTTTCCAACAATTGCGATAATTATATTTTCAGAAAAAAAATAATGCGCCTTTAAATTAGAGGCAAATTGCCTAAAATAAATAAATTGCGATAGAGCGTATTTGCTGAAGAAACCAGTTGTGGAGAGACGGAATAATTGAGATTTTGGCGGCGAATTTCAACGTAGCGCGTTTGTTGCAATTTATCATTTACCATTATTATGATATAGTTTCTATTCTTGAAAAAAAATAAGCGATAGAGCATGTTTGCTTAAAACGATTTAGAAATCTGATAAGTTTTCAGCAGTTCATTATATAGGTCTCACCGCGAAGTGGAGAAGGCAGTGGTAAACCGGAAACGCTACGAGACCCGAATGCAAAGATTTGCTCACAATTTCGAGCAAACGTCACTTTTTACTCGATTCCGCTCGTTTCATTTGCGTGGGTGATTTTTCGAGTTGCAACAGTGATGTGGTCTCATCTGGAAATTAAAGTCACCATTCCCAATTGAAATTACAGTAATGCTAGGGATGAGACTCAACTTTTTGAAAAATATGCGCCTTTGAAATGTCTCAGAGAAAATTTGAATTTTTCGTCGCGAGAACACCAGTCAATATCAATTTTTTTTTGAAGAAATCCGAATAAATAATAAATAAGTGATTCGATATAAATATGTAGGTACACATAAAAAAGCAGAAAGTTATATGTAACTTGAAAAATATTTCCTGACACGCAATTATAGTATTATACGAGACGGGGTGGGGCGTGGGTTGGAGGAGAAGCTTAAACTTGTCACACACACATAGAGCAAAAGCTGAAGTAGAGAAGATCATAAAAGTTGGGCGAGCAATAAACAAGGCGCCAATGTGTAATAATTTGAATATACTCGGTTTTTTTTTGTCTGATTGGCGTTGGCGCGTTTAAAGGGGGGTGTCGCCAATGGGGTCGACGGTGATTTGTCGACACTCTGACGTCCACATCTGCATGTTGCCGCTTCTGCGGCTGGGTTTTGTCGGCGGCGCAGTGCGATGAAAAAATGTTTTTGGTGGCCGCCCAAAAGTTGCCCGATTTCCGGTGAAAACGACGCCTGCCGCTTCACACACCAGCTACTCATTTTCATTCTTACTACGATTACCCAAAAAAAGGCAACACATTTTTGATTTGACTATCGAAAATTGTCAATTTAGATTTGCCGAAATTTATAAAATTAATGAATGACTAAAAATCGAGTAGATCATATTTTTTTCGGTTTTCGTTCAAAAATTTGAGCAAAATTGAAAATCAAACAATTGACGCGAAAAATAATTGAATTTTTCTCGAAGCCAGCAAGAAAAAGCAAATTTTCAATTAATTTCTTCTCAAATAATTTTTTTGTTTATAATGTAAATTATATGGGAGAAAAACTGGCAAAAATTGGCATGGTCCGCTCACAAAACAAAATTTTTGCATTCTATTTAAAAAAAAATGAAGGTTTAACAAAAAAAAACTGTTTTAATTATACTAACACATTGTCCTAATTAGGGAATTGCGTACCTCTTAAATTATTCGCTAGCCTTCTGATATAATATTCTCATTTCAATTCAGTGGAAACCTCAAAAGGAATCCCATTTTTTTGATTGCAATATGACGAGATGTATAGAAAATAAATGGGACCTCGTAAAAAAAAATGCTCATCTCGTTTATATTTTTCGGTTCTTAAAAAATGTGTATATGACAGAAGAGGAATTTGGCGGCCATAAATAATTAGTGAAGCGTTCGACGACAAATGTCAATCGCAAGGATTTGCTAGTTTCCGTAAATAAACACTGTATAGTCTGTTTCTGAAAACCAGCCGGCTACTCGAATCGATCGCTGCGAGACTCAACTCCGAAACATTATCGTATCAAACAAAATTTATTCGAAATTTAACAACGCCTAAAATTGTCTTAACTGAAAATCGATTTCGACCAATTTAAGGCACAATTTTCTATTATTACATCCCAAAAAACGAGCACCTTGACAAATTGTCGGTCATCGTAATTTTCTCAAACCGATTTTTCAAATTTCTATTTAAATTGTGGAATTTCGAATACCGTATTACCGATTAAACTCTCTCTCTCTCTCTCTCTCTCATAAATCCACCAATAAGTGTTCGGTTTTATTGGCGATTGTAATATTTTAATTTATTTGATTATTGAAAATTTGGGTCTTTTGCTGATGCCGGTAGCCGCTTTTGTGAATTGTGTGCAATTCTGCGTCAGGGTGTGTGCACCGAAGTCGCATTAATTGTCGGTGTCAAAAGACTAAATTAAGTTTTTTTTTAATATTAATATTGGCTATTTTCCAGGTGTCTCGAAGCAAAGAGACGTGTGCGTGTTTGCGTACAATGCGTTTTAGCGTACGCGCATATAGTAATTAGCCAGTTTGCAAATTTACAATTTCGTATATCTAGAATAGATATTGAATTTCCTGCCACCATTAGGTCGTTTGACGCCGACAATGTGTTTTCCAAAAAAAGTGTCCATCAGAATTTTTGGTTTCAAGACCTTGTGGTCAGATGGATTGTCATATTTATATAAATAATTTTGAAAAAATAAACGGAAACGCTACGCGGCGACATCGAATATACATATTACGGTAGCCGCTTTTTTGGAATCATACTACAATTTCATTTTTCTCTTACTGAGATTTCTTTTCACTGAAAAAAACAACAAACGATGATACTATTATTATTTTTATTTCTCATTCGTTCTCTTTTCTCCCAGTCTTTTTTTTTGGCAGAATCGAACAAGGAACAATTAGATTCATTAATTATTAAGAAGAATATACAACATAAATAAGTAAATAAATATCTGGAGGATTTGTTTTAAGGCAGGACGGACGCCGCGCCGAGCCGGCTCCTGGGAAAATCGGAAATCCGATATGAGTCGATTAATCCATCCCAGTGTGCGTTTCATTTATTTCTTATGATTCCAAATGACAGCAACACACCAAATAATGGGATATATATATGTATATGGAATATGTGGAGGGGGCCCGAAGAAGAAAGAAGCGAAACCTGTGTAAAATGAACAAATTGATAATGAAGTGGTGATGAATCAAGGCCGAAGTTTGCCATCCTGTAGCACCGGCGAATCCTTCGTCGCCGCGTAGAAGTCAAGAACCTAAATTGAAACATTTCTGGGTTTCGACGGGAAAAATGAATATTTTTACGATGGTATTCGCCAAGTGTCACGCCTACATACTTTACAAAAATCTACTGCTTGGAAAAGCACAAAATTGAAATACGTATTTCTGCCAGGAGAAATAAACACGCGTAAATAATCAAATGCTTTTTTTACAAGGTCCAGAAAATTATTGTTTCATTATAACAAAATTGAGTATTTAACAATATTTCGGTTATACTTTATTGAATGACTAGATATTGCTTTTTGTGTTTTCGAAAAATTGGTTTTAGGCCTACTTTTACCAAAGTTTAAATTTGTTTAAGCAGGTCCGGGAAACTTTCTAAATTCCATGAAATTGTAAAAATTTGCATTCCGAGAAATTTTCCTCGTTATATCGTTTTCTCCTTTCTTTTTTTCAAAAGAAAAATGCCAAAAATTGTTCATAACATTTCCGCTTAAAAAAACAACATTTCGCCACAATAAGGGTTATGTTTAAAGGCGCATGCTCGCAAATCAACCGAAACGTGTAGATAAATTGATATTCCCTATGAGACCAAACGAATAACTCACCAAATGACATGTTTTATCAACAGCTTCTGTTGGCCAATTAGCGACGTCTCCTGACCACCAACACGGATCTGCGCCTTCGACGACCGGATTGATGGATTTGACAGTGAAGGCAAGGTGTAATAAGGCTATGGCTATCATCTGCGCAGTAGTACATAAAATAGTTTCAATTCTAAATTCGGAAATGTCTTACTTGAGGATCTGTGGTTACACATAACGTTGTGTAATAACTATCATTCACAAACGTCCACGCGATTTGTGTGACTTCTTTAATCTGCATTAATGATGGTTTTTAGATTTATATAAAATTCTTGTCGATTTGCACCTGTTCCTTTGTTAAACTCGGGAACAAGTTGCCGTATTCTAATAGGGCGTCATAGGGCAGATCAACTTGAAGATCGAATTTCAGAACGTGCAGTAAAACCCGCTCAATTGCCATTACATCGTCCTGAAAATTGGACAATTACTTGAATTTTGGCAATTTGAATCTTACCGCAAGGTTTGAATATTTGCTGAAAATTTCCGGAAACCTTGAAACCGCGTTATTACACAAATCTTTGCATTTTTTTGGCGTCTCTTCAACCTTTCCGGCTAAAAATAAACATCCCAAAGCGGTAATCTGAATATTTTTATAAAAAAATTTCCACAAAAACTTTGAAAAAAAAACCTCTCTGGGAAAATTTTGAAACGACTGCAACATATAAAACCGGTGGAAATATATCGAAGAGGTCGCTATTGTCGGATTTGCCTTGCTAAAAATCAAATGTTTTATCTTTTTTGAATAAATTACTTACAATTTTAACTGAGATCCAACTTCAGAAATAATTTTACAACCTTCTCGACGATAGCACGCTTCTTTTTCTCGAGTTAATCCTGCTAAAATTGATGGTGTCGCCTGAAAAATTCAAATTTTATTAAATACTTGAAAAAAAAACTTACTTTTACTGCTTCGTTGGGCCACAACCACTGGTTCATTATTATATTTGGTGGAATAAAAATAATAAATAATTGGAAGAAGAAAATACACTAAAAACGCATGGAAACGCAGAGACAACTAGAATTGCGCCAGTGTATGTTGGTTGGCGCAAAATTTGTCACTGGCGTGAAATTAAAATTTTTATTCAAAAACGTTTTTTTCTGCTTTATAAAAATTAACCAATTTCTATGTGTTTAATTTATTTAATTACTATCAAGATAATTTTTTAAAGTTTTAGCTATGCGCCCATTTCGTGGAAAACGATATACAAACATGCGAGGAAATGCAAAACCGCGCACTGTTAATTTTGTCGGTCCTAGACCGAAATCACGCCCACCGCCTTTTGACGATTACATGTATAAATCAATTTTCGACGACTCTTTGAAAAACGATAGCCAGTTTAATTCCGAAATTATCGAGAGAGCCGCAAACTTGACGCCATCTCTTGATGCGTACGCAAAAGTGTTGGAATTCACGGAAAAAGTGAAAGCTGCTCTTCAAAAGGAAATGGAGAAAAACACTGTTCCAGATGTGGTTTGTAGACGAAAAGAAAAACGATTAAAGAATAATATTCTAGAAAATCGAGTCCATTTCTCTCGTTGGTTCATATTCCACAGATACGGTTTTATGTGGCAATTTAAAATCGGATATTGTTGTGCAATTAAGCACCCTACCTTCTTGTAAGCTTTGATTATTTGTCTAATTATCATTGCTTAAATTGTAGTCGAAACTGTGAACGCTCTTGGCAACAAAGTGGTGGAAAATGTGAGGAAAGCAAACCCAAAGGACGTCAGCACATCAGTAGCTCAAGAGTATGGTTGTTGCATAATGACACCAAATGCGCAAGTCAAAATTCTCATCACAATTTTACCGGAAAACTCAACAAAATTAGAACCACAACTTCATCGTAAGATTCCAGATTTTAGCCAATTTTTGACAAAAATGTCACTTTATTTAGTCAGCGAACAAATAATGATGAAGAACTTCTTCGCAATTCGTCATGTTACATGGTTCAAGACGATCGAGCAAGGAATAACTCCGGAGTTTCTTCTAGAACTTAAGGTAGGCTAAAAATCAAACTTGGTGAATTGCGGGTCTTCATTATATCAAAAATTCCTCTTTTCAACGTTTTGCTTTGTCTATTGCAAAATGACTGACTAAAAACAATCTAAATCCAGCAAATCGTTATCAATTAAAAAACCTTGACAAGTATTATAAAATATATGGCCGAGATTTGACATCTTCTTAATTTAAGGCGCTCATTCGTGTCATAAAAGATGTTCGTAATCGCTACGAAGAATTCCGTTCTCTTTCCATTTGGGCATTACAGTATCTGGTAAGCTTTTTCCTTTTTTCTTTGGAAACATTAATTTTAAGGCATATTATGCGATTTCAAACGGGCCTAATCGGGAGAGAATCTCACTCGGCGCTGCATTTCGAAGGTTCTTCGAGATTCTCGCCAGCGGGATCCTGCTTCCGAAGGCGATGGTCCTCAATGATCCGGCAAGTTCGACCTACAGAATTGGATGGGATATGAGTTATAATGATATGGTAGGAGTGATCTTACTGTATTTGAATAATTAAAGGATTTTCAGGATTTGGTCTGTATGACAGCGCAAGTTTTCACACAGATCTTCGCCACTGGCGACAACGGCTATCGAGCGATTCTTGGAACGAATCCGGACACAACAAATCTAGGTAGGGAATTCTGACGTTGCAATTTTAAAGATTTCAAAGTTTTGTTGATTTCAGATCTTGCAAAAACGACGAGTACTTGGGGTGACATCGAGATCACGCCCCTACAAGCAGCTTTCGAGGAGAATTGCATGGAACCCTGTTACAACGACGACGTCATAGCTCCTCAATAATCAAATTTTATCGCGTCTTTCATGAATATTACAAAGTCAAACTTAAATAGATTTCAGTTGTTAGTTAATTATTCTGTTTCTTTGTCTGAACAGATTTAGCCTTCTCTTCCTCTTCTTCTTCCTTGGCTTCCTCCATTTCATCCTCGTCAATGCTCTCGGTCTCCCTTATACTACTGCTCCCGCGGCTTCTCGGGTGGCTGCTCGACTTGACATGGGTCGTTGGAGTTCTCTTGGGCATACGTCTAGTATGAATTTTGGTGGCAATCTAAATCAAATTTCAGATTTCCTGTTGATAAAACTAGACTTGCAGTTGATGTGATGTTGTCTTCTGATTCCTCATGGCTCACCGAAGCACGTCGATCTTGGTGAGGTTCCGTCGGCTCGGCGGAATTTTTGCGGTCTGCAAATTTGCCCCTAGTTTGTGGTTTGATCAACAAACTGGTCCAAATGACCTTCTTGTTGTTCTTTTGGATCAGCTTATTTGTCTTCTTGACGTGAAAAAAGAAAACTCACTTCGAAGTTTGGACGCCATTCGTGATGCTAATGAGACGAATGAATAATTTTGGAGGGCGACGAACGAATATATCAAAATAATGAAGAAATGAAAAGAGAAAAGAAAAACACAAAAAATGTTGATGATGATGGGAATGGTGGGGGGCAAATGAGTCAGAAGCGCGCCCCGAAAGAAACAACAAAACAGTGTGTTTTTTTGTGGTTGGTTCACCCTCTTCGCCGCTCAATCGGCGGGAGAAGCACACATACACACAAATCAGAAAGGTGTGAAAAGCGGTGATGATTTTTATCTGTCACAAAATGTACAAAAATGAATTTTCTTTATTATTTTTTTGTTGCGTCGGCGTCTCGCCTCAATTCGCTTCGGGAAGCTCGTGTTGGATGGAGCTCAAATCGATCGTCGTCGCCGGCAGAATTATCGAATCGCGGCGATCCTTATCGAAGCTGCTCAGATTCGACGCCGAGTCGCTGCAAATTGATTGATAAAACGCGATGTTCGTGTTGGTGAATGTGCACGGCCGAAATATGAGAGATGACCGCATTGTGAAAATCATTGGAGTGACGTAGAGATCTGCTCTTTTGATCCTACTCGCCATGGAACCTTGAGACGTTGCCATGGACTTCTTTCAATATTTCTAGTCACATTTCAATTTCGTAACATTTCTTTCAGGTAACCCATTTAGATATGTTCATTGAGATTTGGCAATTAGACATTTGTGGTCCGTAGTAGACAAAGGCATATTTTTAAAAATCCTAATAAACTTAATGGGAAATTCATTGCGATTTAGCACGCATGAAATTGCGAATTAAATTTTCACTGACTTCTTTGTTCTCTCTTAATTTTCGTCGTCTCTCGTTTTTATAAATCAACCCCGATATTTTTTCTGATATTTTGAATTATAAATTATATCTAACAAAAGCGAAAAATTGAATGGCGCCATCATAATATGAATTTCGCGAAATTTGCGTAAAGATCAAAAAATGAGTTTTGCAAAATGCATGCATTTCCACTCGATTAAATCTAACTGCAGCGGATTTTTTTTTTCAAATTTAACATGAATACAATCTAGTATTACGTCAAGTATAAAAGAACGTGACATTTGAACAAAAATAATTGGAATTTTGGGAAAAAAAACGTCACAAACTGATTTTTTTCAAAGTTCTTTTCTATATTCTATGAAATTTAGAATATTTGTAAAGCTCACTGTGGCGAGATGGAAAACACCGGACATTTCCTTTGCCGGCAATTCTCATCGAAAATACTACACGTGCTTCCCCGACGGCTCTCCGGCGTTGCGAAACTGCCTCGACGCGGTGCTGCCCTCAACCGATCGACAATTGAAGAGATGAGCATCGTCCATGCTCGAGACGCTTCGGGGAACCCGCGAACGCAATCCTCAACATTAGTTTTGAATTTTTTTCGTCTCAATTTTCCAAAATCTACCTGTATAACGACAATATCCACAAAATACTCGCCAACTTTCTCCCAATGTTTCGATTTGAATCCATACTGTTTCAAGTATGCATGGTTTTGCCCAAGGCTATCCAGATGCTCGAGAATTTTCGTGGGCTCAATTTCAAGGCTCATCACTACCTGAACAGGTTTAAATCAAACAATCTTCAATATAATGTCGTCGTACCTGTGAAACAAGGGACACAAAAAAGTGGGTGTGGTCTCGAAGCGTCGCTATTGAGCCGGACCTTCGACGTTCACAACGCTCCTGCATCGAATCCACAAACGCGGCATTATAGAAAATGTTGCGAACATCTTTGTCTTTCTGAATGTCATCAAATTACTGTGGCATAAAGATTGAAATTGGCTACCGAATCGAGTTTCTCCCAAACTTTTTCCAAGAGGAGCACAATACCTCGACAATTGGATCGCGGCGGCTCACACAGACGAGCCCATGTCATTTTGAGAGCTCTCACATGCTCACGCTTGAGATTCCATGTGGTTGCCTGGTACAATAATATTGACAAATTTAATGGGTCTCGGGAGGGAGTAAATGTTTGACTTCTTATTTTGAAATTTTCAGGCCTACGTGAACATGTTAAAAATCTCCTACCAAAGTTAGAGGCCTGATGGCCGGAGCACTTCCGCTACGCTTCCGAAGTGGCGGATTCGAAGGAACACTTAGACGGTTCGAAGAAGATGAAAGCGGTGATTGTGTCGAATTCACCTTATTTTTCTACAATTGCGAATTTTCCGAAAAACGTCGTTGAAATTTTGACCCACGATCTTGGATTTGCTCGGCGACGACGGTGTGACGAGATTCGAGTTCGAAATGCGCTTCTTGTAGAATCCGGCTCGCGCGGCTCCCATCATTTTGAGAATCGCCTTCAGAGCTCAAGTGCGAAGGCATCGACGCGCATAGAGCGATGAAAAATTCGGCGAACGGACGTCGGACACTTCCGCACCACTTCACAATTCGAAATTTTTTGGAATAGCTTTCAAAAAAAATAATAAAAATAATGTAAAGAATAATACGAAGAAAGTACGTCGGTCTTGTGAGGACGATAACGGGATAAAATTGAAGGGGGAGAAGAAGAGGGGAAAAAAACCAACGTCCAATTTTTCTCGACAAAATGGTCCCGCGAGGATTCTCACCGAGACGACGGATATTCAAGAAGGAAGAAAGGATAACGAACAAAAAAAAACGATAGGAAATCCCAAGATGGTGATTTTCGGGCTATGTGTGAGACTAACAAGTTGTCACAATTATTGGGTATTCGAGTAATTCTTGGAGAATAATGGTTCCAATAAAAAAAACTGAAAATCGAAGAAGTTATGAAATCGGATATGCGGATTCGCGTGGGAGTCTTCGTTTGAAATTTCCTCCAAGAAGTGATTTTGAATTTCGCGCTTTGGTCCCGCACGGAAAGCGTGGAAAAAAATTAACAAAATCCATATATTTTGAAGAGCAAAATTATGGGACAAAAAATCTGAATATTTCGGAAATAGATTTCTAAAAGAACCTTAGTTTTTTTCTGGAAGAACAAAAATCTATTCTAAATCTGAAAAGAAAATTCTTTAGTCAAGTCAGGCTTTAAATTGCATTTTTTCAGATGCTTTCCTGTTTTTTTTGAAAGAAACAAAAGCATTTAGACGAAGAAAAAAACAATTTCCGCAAGAAATGAGATGAATAATTACCTTTAAAAAAATAAAACTTGAGGTTTAAAAAAGAAGGAGGTTACAGGCAATTTGGTCTCATTATACTTTGGCTGCGTATCAAGTATACGCAAAGCTACAGTATATATCAAAGGCGCATACAAATTTTTGATTTTTCCGCCTCAAGAATTCAAACTGAATTTTACCAATACTTTTTTTGAATATCCGACAGTTGCCTGTCTTCGATAATATGTATAATAAAGCATTAGAAGACAAGAACAACGAGAATGGTCCTCCCTGGGGACCCTTATTGTGAACTTTTAGATTTTAGTATCAAAAAAAGGGGTGAGGGAGGATTTTTGGACCATTTAAGTCAATTTGACGGGTGTTATATTAGGCGTATCTCGTAGTGGATATTCTTCTTCTTCTTCTAACTTCATTTATACGTTCTTCTCTTCTTTTCATTGCTTCTCGTCAAGCAACTTATGTATTTGAATGATGTTTGGTCAACGATAGAAGGGACCACGTGAGGGAGTGACGGACATGTGTGAGATGCGACAACAATCATGGTCCGGAGAATTATGACACTTTTTTGAGTGGGTGGACGAAGAACAAGTATGGATTGTTGACAACACCCGATTCATATGGAGAAAAGGGTTCTATCGACAATTTTAATTTAGATTGAGTTTGCCGATATTTTCAAGTATTATAAATCGAAAATTCGAGTTTCGAGGTACAGTGCGTTGCAGAGTTATAAGGCCAGCCATAAGTTTGAGGACCACGCAATTATTTCGATATTTTGAGATCAACTAGTTTGAAAATCGGGTTCGGCATGAAAAATTACCCAAACATAGTAATTTTTATGTTAGTATCTTCAAAAGTAACCGCGTAGTGGTCAAAATCCGTTTTTTTTTTTCAAGCGGGTTCAGAATTATAAAGCCACCCCCAAACGGACTAATTCACTTTTTTTTTGAAACTGTGACCACCAATGTTCATAAAAAATTCGTTGTGTGGCTTTAAGAGTCTACACCCTTTCCTATTTTTCTCTTTTTGAATCATATTGAAATGCCGTGTGGCAATTGTCTTAATAGTTCTGAGCAATCTCAGATTCTCACATTCAAAACGGCATGATGGTCAAACCGTCGGATTGCGAAGCTTTTTAAATGGTTCGAAAACATTCGCAGACATCTTTATGAAGGATCCAACCAAAAGTCAGGCGCCAATGAAAAAGATGCCGACAGGCTTCTGCGTGTTAGTTTCTTTGAATCCCGAACTGAACCGATGCCTAGTGATAAACGTAGTTTTCAAAAAAAAAACTATAATGTAGCTTAATAGTTTGATGATTATTATTTTTTTGAATAAACTTGATAATTTCAATATTTTTGTATCGATAAAAATTGAACTATAAATCCTAAAATAATTTCTGAAAAGCTTGGTCTTTCAATAATTGAATGATCCATTAGCACTGAAAATTTTAAAAATTATTAATTGTGAGAACTTTTAAAGTATTAAGAAACTATTGATAATTCTCCAGACAAATCAATTACACCTGGCAAAAAGAAATTGCGAACATAAATTAATCTTTTCTAAATCAATTTTCTCGCCACTTCTCTTAATATTTCTATTTTTGTGCCAATATCTTACATATGTATAGTCTGTTTCTGAAAAACAATACGGCTAACACAACCGCTTACATTTCATTACCGTATCCAAAACTTTTTTGGATGTTTGAAATTGTTATAAAACTTTAAAAATTGTTTTAAAAACCAGTGAATTCGTTTTTTTGCTCAATTTAAAATTATTTTTTAATTTTTGATATTTGAAAAAATTGTATAAAATAATTAAAAATAAGAATTGATCTCTTATAAGTGGCCAATACTGCCGTGGAAAAAAAAGAAAAAAATTGTTTTCAGAAAAAGGGACGAAGCAGAACAAATAGAGAGGCTCTGGGTGTGTGACAACTGAATCTAGTAGTCGCTTTTTTTTAAGTCAAATATTCATTTTTTTAAAATACCGTTTTATCCGTTCATAATTCGCATTTTTTTCCTGCTATTTGACGCGAAAATTTCGCGACTTCGTCCACAACACTCGAATGAAAATGCGAATTATGATCGCATTAATTTGTGAATTCGATAAATTACGTAGAAGCCCACTCGGCTCCGACCCCCTCTCATGCGATATTTGTTTCGTCGCTGAATCACCGCAACTTTCCATGTTGCTTATTGATTGCGAGATTCCGCCTACTTTTGTCGACTTGTAGTCGTTATGGCAAAATCGTCGGAAAATTGGAATTTGTAAGCAGAAGATTGTCTCCAATCAGATTTTTCTTATGTGAAATTTTTTTAATGCTGATCGTGAAATTTCGATCATAGAATCACGTAGCTTCGAAAGTGTATTGACGAAAAAATTTATTTCTATAAATTGTCGCACGATTGCGGTAAATTGGCTCGTTGCGCTGTGTGCGCCTTTAATCTATCCTTATATTTACAAGGGAGGTCTTTTTGCAGTCCATCTTAAAATGTTTTACTTTTTGCATACAAATTCGCGAACTAGGTTCTATTTTTTGTTTAATTTTGTTTGGCATTTAAACAATTTTCCGCAGTCGAGCGACAATATATATTAATCAATTTTCTTACATTTAGTCATATATTTCAGAAGCATGATCGCTGCCGAACCTCAATCACGCGAACAAATCGAGATCCATGTGAGGTATTTGATGGCGGCTTCTGGAATCACTTCGATCATTGTCAACTTATATGGAATTTATCTATTAATTTATTATCACGGAAGTATGGATTCCTATCGATTCCACCTTCTTTATTTCCAAGTAGGTTGTTTGTGCGCAAAAAAGCAAGTACTATGATCTATAAATATTCGTTAGTTTCATGTACAAGTTAACTCTAGTACGGTACACCAATATACACCTTTTCAATCAATACTCGAAATGTGCCCATTTTGTCAAGAATAATATTGTCGAGGACGGACGGATTTAGGGGGGTGTTGTTTATTATCCAAATTTTTGGTGCCATTGTCTTATAATCGATTTGATCTACTATGAAATGCAATGCAAATTACAGAAGATATCAAAGACGAATGCGAAAATTTGTTGATTTCGCGCTAAGATAAAAAAATGGCAAACGCGTTGGATCATTCAAGTAAGGATAAAATCGTCCGTCTTCGACAATATGTATAATACATTGCTGGAAAATAGATAATCAATTCTACGGTTTGGTACGCAGTACACCGAGCCACTTACCGTAATCCGCGCAGCAATTTGTTTGAATTTAATTTTTTTCCACAATTGCCTCAATTTACATTGAAAACTTTTGCTTATACTCTTTTTTTTTTGAAAATTTCCAATAAATCGTTCGGTGTACTACGTACCACTAAAAACTACTAATTCCACGACATTCCGATCAGACGCCTTGATTTATTTTCTAAATTATTTTCTTATTTTTTCATAATTCGTATCTGATTCAAAGAAATCGCAAGAGAAAACATTTTATAGATGACGTGTCTAATATTTGATGTATACTTTTCGCACTTTATGGTCCCGATTCCATTATTTCCGATCACTGGAGGTTATTCGATAGGCATTTTGGGCCGATTGTTTCGGTTGCCGACACATTATCAAATGGTATTTTTTTTTAAATCAGTTTGTTTCCTTAACACAAAAATATTTAGGTTGCTGCCTTATGGTTTCTTGGCAATACGATTACGTGCATATTTGTTAGTCTTCTGAAACGCCATCAAGCGGTGGCGAAAATTGAGCAGGTCAGAATTTGCGAAATGAAATTACGTGAGCCTTTGTGAATATAAATGTAGTCGAAATTCGTTTGCCAAAATCAAATTATTCCAAATTTTTGATATATTTTTAGAAGAATCGAATGCATCAGATCATGGTGAAGTTCTCAATTTTATCTTCCAACACCGCTCCCGTTATTGGCACTTTTATTTATGCATTATCCGAGCCCGATAATTATATGAAGCGCATCATATTATCTAATGTTATCCGAAAAGAATACGCGGAATTTTTGAAAATCAGAACATTTTTAGAAATTTCCAAACTCTCTCTGGGTTCTTGATATTCCAACCGTCGTGATTTACGATATCAGCTTCAAAACGAACCCAATGTTCACATGCATTGTTTATTCTGTTTTCGGAGGGTCGGCGCTCATTATGATATCTTATAATATCCTTTACTTTCAATTATTCGTAATGTTAAATTCTGTGAAAACAAAAATTTCTCAAAAAAATTATAAGAAGCATTTCACCGCGGTTATTAATACAATACTACAGGTTTGTTTTTAGTTTTGGTCTTGTGACGATAAAATTAAGCGTCATGATTGCGTTGGGGTTTTTCTAAAAAAAATTGAATTGGCGGGTAAATCGATAACTGTGCAATAGAGCGCGTTTGCATACTTTGGCGTATGAAAAAATAATCGGAATAGTTTGATGTGGCTGCATAGGATACAACTGACGAATTTGAAAATCGTTTTTTTCCAAAATTTTTCAGATAAAAGGAGCAACGTCCTAAAATGACAAAAATTTGTGTTTCAGAATCTCGTTTTCTTCATTTTCTACGTCATTCCAGCGATCATTCTATTTTTGGTAATTTATTTCGAATTCGACGCGACTTGTAACACCTTAAAAAAACTACATGCTATAATGGTATTTTTTCTCAGATACCTCGATATTTATGATTTTCGCATTTTCTGTTCACTCAACAGCCAATGCGATTGTCGTTATTGCGACATTTCCAACATTCCGACGGGCATTCAAGTATCATTTGAAGAATTTTATTTGCCGATATCCAAATAAACCCGTAAAAAATCAAATAATAATTCGATAATGATTCGAATGATTGCAGAATATCACGATTCGCGAGATAGTGTCAAGCAACGCCAAATCGAGATCACCGGCAGTGATCAACGTCACCTAGAAGTATGTTTGGTAGATCTCAGGATCCGTCGCCTCCACGCCGGACAAATCAAACAGCCGAAGAATATCCATGAGGTTGAGGCGATCAAAATGAATTTTCTGAAGAAATTTGACGTTACACCATAAAATGAGTGACTCTACCAGAACCGCGTTGATGATTTTCATTATTTTGACAACTCGCGCCGCGTAATTTTTGATTTTCTGCTCATTCATGTAATACGAATGTAGATCATTGGATAGTTGCTTGAGCTCGATTTCGCTGGCTTCTAGAATCTTGCCCTGATATTTCTTGCCGGCAAAGTGCCATGACATATACGCCAACATGAAGGCGATCTCTCGATTCGAAGGGGCGAGCTCGACGAGCGGCTTCGCTACTTCTTCCATCATCCGCAGATTATAGACATTGAAGTGTCTGAAATTGTTTGAAATTTAAAAAAAATGCTCAAACTTCTCCAAGATAGTCCGAATATGACAGTAATACCATCGCAAAATTTCGAATGTGACAGTAATATCATCGCAAAAGACTTGAGTGTTTAGGACCAAGATATTTGCGGTAATTTAAATTTAAAATTAAACAGTGGGAACTAGATAACCTGCACATCAAACTCGCCATAATTCAAATAAGAGTTTTATGTAGTTTGTATTGCGATGGTAATAATTGAGTAACCCAAACCAAAATTCGAAGTGGACCGGACCTATTCATGAATTTTAAAAAATTACCCATTTTTTCCAATGTAAAGTTGTAAAAAATGCACATTCACCGCATTTCTTTTAATGTTTTAAATCATGCATGGTTGACAAAAAAAACGATGATCCACAAATAGGTACTCATTTTTTTGCGATAGTAATATAATAAAACAAAACACCATATTCTTTTTGCAACAATCTAACACAAATTTGCACATTCTGGCAACTATACCCTTTCATTTCGTTGACTGTAAAAAAATCGCAGGTGACTTTTAGCTCTCCAGCTCGCGCAACTTTTCCCGGCATGACGGTGACTATCTGAAATGCTATTAATGTAAAATTAATATTTGAATATTCGCCGTCAAATGTTGTATATAATCGACGACGGACGACTGAATTTCCCGCAACCTTCTAGTATTTGAATAAAATATTACGTTTTCGTCAATCATTCTGTGTCCCAACAGTTTTGCCGTCGTCGCAAATCGTTCCAATCGCTTCCACTGTGCCCAGGTGGATTTCAGTATTTGAATCTAAACACAAATTATTTCATTTGGTTGTTTTTTTTTCTATGACAAAACCCTTTCAGTTATCGTCAAATTTCTATAATTCTCCGAATGCATGAACCATTGGCCAATCGTTTTGATTTGATTATTGGAAGCGTTGAGAATAGTTGAAAACGATATTTTGCCAACAAACTGAAATTTTCAGCAACACAATCAATTAAACTAATATATACTGTTTCCGAAAAAAAAGAAGCCACCAAAATCTTTCGCCATGAGACCTGTATAAACGCGACCGCAACGCCCCTGATGACCAAAGATTTTTCAGATATTTTAAGCCTTTTTTTCCAGAAACATTATATATCAACAAAAAAAAACCTGTATAATATACGATTTGTGAATATTTCTATAATTGCTTAGGCCATATTCAAGTTTTTGCAACCCATTCATCTTTTTGTAATCGATCGACTGCGGAAATTCCCACTAAATCATAAATAGTTGATTTGAGCATAGAATTGAATTAAGCAATATCACCTGCTCAATTACATTTTTCACATTCTCGAGAAGCTCGGAAACGTCCATTTTGAGAACCTGTCTTCCATTCAGATCGATTTTCTCGACTGAGATGTCGTCAAAGATCATTCCTGGATCTGCGGGATGCGAATCTTCCGAATGCGACTTTCGATTTATCGTGCTGTCATAGTTGTATTTCACGTCTTAAATATTATATTTTGAAATAAAGCTGAAAATTGTTTAACAACTTTTTGTTGTCATCCCTTGATCAACGCATTTCTGATATCGGCAGTGTTTGCATTGTTATCGGCTGCTTTGAATCAAACAAGGCTGTCCGGTTGTTGATCTACATTTGAAAACCTTGCCAGCAACAACAACTCGACTAAATATATTCGATGAATTAAACTAAGACTTGTTCGACTATGTATTAAAACCAAAAAAAGTACCGAAAGAACGCGGCACAAGCTCGACAGGATAATACACCGAAATGGACGCCGTGCGCCGATTCGCCGCATATTTGACAACTCTGGAACGTTGAGGGCGTCATTAGTGAATATGTGCCATCATATTCTATGGTATGTGTTTGCCTGATACGAGTTGCCCGTGTGACCAATGATAAAACATGCGGGGAAGAGCGATCGATTGAACGAGCTGTTAGCGGAAGACCATCGATCACGAAAAATGATGATTTTAAGGAATAGAATCGTGAAGACATGCGCATTATTTACTCGACCGAATATATTTCATAAGCACAATTTTTAGAAAAAATGTGGTTGAACGCGAAAAAGTTGAATGTCGATGAAGAAAATTGCATAAATAGTCCGAATCCTGTATGTTTCTTCAATCCTGTCAGGGATGCTAGAAAACAAAATCTAAAAATTATATGTATTCAATTATTTTTTTCGACAATTTTCTGAAAAATTGAGAAATTTACAATTAGTCCAATTTCAACGATTCTTCACAAAATGCGATGCTTTTACACGAATTCTTTCTATTTCTATTAGTGGCGTCTGATGTGGGCTTGACGATTTACGACTTTGACAACATTCTCGAATCTTAAAATTGTTGAACCCGTTGCAACATGACCACAACGAACAATTCCAATTACTGCAAATTGTTTAAAAAATAAGTGATTTTCGTTAGGAAAAAAATTTAATTGAAAATCGATAATTTGGAGGAAAATTAAAAATATCCGCGCGAAAATATTTTGTTTATTTGAAGCTAATAGAAATAGATGAGTTTTGTGGATATAACGCGAACTGCCCTTTCAGGACCTTTTTATGCCATTCAATAATGTCCCCCTCTGAATACCTTCTTTTGATTTTCTTTGTCGACTTTTCCATTCAGTTCATTCCTTTTTGGTTTCATACTTGAATGTTTCTGGTGTTGTCGGTGTAACCTCTGTACGTTTATTGGATCAGCCAAAACGGCAGTTGGCCGAAAATAGTCATAATTCGAATCCAACCTGGTGACCTTCTTCTTCTTCTTCAAATAAAAACAACTGATATGATAAATTGGCTTAAAATAAAAAAAAACTCAATTTTTGATGAGAAAATAACGGACTAAACCCCGAAATTTTAGAAGAATTCCATGAAAATCCAAAAACTTCTTTGGTTTCATTCTTCAACCATAATCACGCCTTCAGAGCTTTCTCAAAAATCGACACGAAATTCGAAAAATACGTTCATAGATGAATTTCAATGCAAAAAAAAGAAGAAAAAGAAAATATAGGAAAAAAAAAAACAAACGCTTATTTTTTAAAATCATTTCTTCATTTTTTGTATTGAAATTTAGTCAACTTTTTTTAATAATTTTCTCTGAATTGACCATTTAGCTTGAAAATATTAGTTTGGATTCTTCAAGATTTTTCAGGTGAAAATTAGATTCTGAACGAAATCTTGTGGTGGACGATTCAAAACAATAAAGCGATCGCACCCCAAATTTGTCCGTCGTCGATTATGCACAACATTTGTTTTCCGGAAATACTTCAAATAATTTTCACGACCATTCAGGACCAATCAATTCAAAGCATCCAAAAACGAATCGTAAGAATTAAATGACTCCCTTTCCTTTTTTATTAAAAATTTGTCATCATCACGCTATCATAAAATTCCATTCTTCGCGTAGACATTTTTAGAGCAATTAACAGAAAGAAGACCTTCCCGCTATCTAGTTATCACGTATGAAAGAGCATATGCTCACTCCGTTCACACTAGTGGGATTTACATGAAAAAAAAAAATTTTTCTCAATGGAGCGCACTTGCAGCTTAGCGCTATTCCGGTGCATAAATTCAACAAATTAAATTTGTGAAATAAATTAGAAACATTCTCAAAATGGAGCGTTTTTTCAATAAGAACGATTAGTTTTTATATTTCTTCGGGTGGATCAGATTCACCGCAATTTATGGTCTATTTAGTTATAAATTAAATAAGTTATTTAAATTTATATCGGATCTTTTTTTTGAACATATACATAACATTTTTAAATGATAAAACCATCAATTAAACGAAAGAAATACTACACAATTGAATTATGATATAAAAATTGATGATGTGTAGCAGATGAATTCAATGCGAGTAGATAAAGACTCGAGAGAGATTGAATTCGGAAAAAGAGGATATAAGGACATTTGGAAAATTGCAAAACTAATAGGGAAAAAATACACTTATCAATTTGGAAACAAATGGATAATCAACAAATTCATTTAACAAGATTCTCTTTATCGATTTCATTAGGCAGCTTGAATAGAACAATTTGATGTTATACAACACAAATGACTAAAAAAATACATTTTTGAGTTGAGGACGTCTTTCCATTGGTCTTTTGGAGTAATTCGGAAGTTTAAAAAAAAATCTCGAAAAGCGAATTGTCCGTGATATCGTTTCATCATTCCGCCAGCTTTTGATTTTCGAGATGTAGTGCTTATCTGAATTCAATAAATGAATTCAATGCGAGTAGATAATGACGCGAGAGAGATAAATAACGAAAAAAGAAGCTGAAAACGGTAAATTAACGTAAGAACTAGCGAAATTTAAAAAAAAAAACAACAAAAAATTATAGAGAATCTCTTGCAACTTCTCCGCCGAAATGACACAATATTTACATTTAAAATTTGCAAAAAAATAAAAAATTAAACAACTATGAAATGTTTTTCCAAGTATTAACAAACATAATCGTATAAATCAAACCATATAATATAACAATAAATGATATTAACAAAAGAGAGTGAAAAAACAGAGAAAAGAAATTTTAATATTTCTAAAATTCAATCTTTAAAAAACTACGGACCTCTGAATACTTATCCGATTGAATTATAGTAAAGCTTTTACGATAGAAAAAAGCCTTGCGAAAAACGTGGTCGCTGCACTTTTTTGTTAAAATTTGAGAAAAATTCAAAAAACTTGAAAAAAGAGTCAAAACCTGGCGATTTTAAAAAAATTCGTCTGCGCGTCAAAGAGGCCAACAATCGACCACTGACACAGTTTGAGTTTTCATTTCAGGTAAATCCCACTAGTGTGAACGCCGTGTGCTTATAAGTCTTCAATTATGGTCGCCGAATACGCCACTGACCACGGCCGCGAACTTTGACACATTCCACGTCTGCCATTATTATTTTCACGTTAAATTATTTTTTAATTTTTATCACAATATTTATGCGTTTTTTTTAAAGATTATATTTAAAAAAAAAACATTAAGTATAAGAAAATAATCCAATTAATCGAATTTTTAAATGAAATCAGAAAATTGAATTTGAAGATTTTTAATAAGCGGGATGTCATTCATTTCGTCTCCTAAACAATTATTTATTCCTTCACTCGAAAAAATTGTGTTTCTTCACAAACTTTGCTGAAATTTCTAAACATCCAAAAATCGGAAAATCGAAATAGTTGAAAACGTGCAATTTGAAAGAATTCAGCAAATCGTGTCCTAGAAACGGCCGTGAAAAGAGTGTTTCGTTGAATCATAGGAGGAAAATAGCGTTTGAGAGACAGTTCTTTTTATATATTTTTTTCTCTATTTCATGCGAATTTTAGTGCAAATTCGAGAAGTATTCAGGAATATTGTTTAATATTGTATTAGTTATCACTGACTGTGCAATATCCATTTCCGACACGCAAATCAGGTTAACATGATTTTGCCTTTTTGTTTTGCAACGAGCCATCGTAAAACACTCACATTTCAACACGCACTCTAATGGGTTCGACGCGTTCACAACCCCTTCCATCTCTGCTCGTTTCGCTTGGTTTCGCCTGCAAACCACACCATTACACAATTTTTTTAAGAGTTAAAAAGCGAAAACGACGCAGAGTAGTGAAATTTTTGTCAAACTGGGGGTCCCTCCGGCGCTATATTTTAAAATCTTAACAATAACAATTTTAATTGAAATATTTGTGGACATTTTCTTGTATACATCACCTGACACCACGGGAGCTCCCAAAACTCTGGTAAATGATTCCTAGTCGTATACGAAAAAAGCGAATTTCTTCATCGTATAAGATAAAATTAAAATCGTATACGTTAATGGTAATCGTATTAGTTAATGTGAATCGTATAGGATCGTATACGATTCTGATGAATGGTTTGTAATCGTATACGAAACATCCGCATTTCCTCGTCGTATACGTTATTGCAAGGATCGTATACGATTTGGATTTTATCACAGTAGTGTAACCACCACAATTATACACTGCGGACATGCATTAAAATTGACGTCTAAATTCGAAAAACAATTTTCGAAAATTTTCGAATTTTTTCATATTCGATTTTTATGCGTATATTGCGTTTTAATATATATATTTTCCAAAAAAATCGTGCATTTTACTGGCTCCGCTCTAAGAAATCTATATTTTCTTTGCAGATATGTCGCAAAATTCAAAACTATTTGCATATCGAAAGCGATATCGTTACACCACACGAGAAATCATGGAAAAAAATATATAGGGAATATCGGAACGAGACAGAAACAGGTGATAACAACAGAAAAAATGAAGAAAATAACTATTTTCAGAAAATAGAGAAACTTAACATCAGGTATAACTAAAAGTAAAAACAGAGCAAGATTTAATTTCTATAGATTCTATAGAATCGTCTGAAGATGAGCTCACTTGCGCGGAAGAAGATTTTGTGTCAATGTCGAGCTGTGACAACTTGCAAAGAGTCATTACGTCGAGAGGTTGTTACCGTTTTTGCATATTTTTGAAATTATTTCGCTTTAGGCCAATGGGAAGCATTATCTTCGCGAGATTTTATTTTCACAGTT